ATTTAATTGACGAAAGTAGAAAAGGGCTGCAGAAGACAGACCCGGAAAGATCAAAGCAGTGGATTTTCTTCCCACCCAAGCCCTCTTCTGGGGGTTCTTTCTGCTGTCACCTAGGTGGCCTTCACACCTCTAGTTTGACAGCAGCCCATCCTCTTACCTCTTCAAAAGGGCTTGGAAATACTCCTAAAGCAATCAGTTCAGAGTTAACACCTTTCACTCATCCTTACCCTTTGAGAATAGATAAGGTGAGGGATGGCTGCAGTACAGGATGCGCTCTAGAAAGCTTGTAATGGAAAAGGAATAGAAAATAAGAATCTTTGGTTTCTGGCCTGATTCTCAAAGTTGGCCAGTTTTACTCAGAAGAGATGAACTGTAATACTCTTCTAGTCTCTGACCACAGCATGTTGGAAATGTTTTCACTGCTGGATAGTAAACTTGGGGGCTCCTCTTTTTTTTTTTTTTTTTTTTGTACTGGGAAGCAAACTCAGGACCTTGTGCTTGCCAGGTAAGTACTTATGCCACTGAGCTAGATCCCCTGTATGGCTCCTCTCTTAATTGACAGGAAGTAGAGGGAACAAATCCTTGGATTCAAGCTATTAGAGCAGTGGTTCACACGGTAGCATAATAAAATCACTTGGGAGCTGGGCATATAGCTCAGTATAGAGTGCTTGCCTTGTGTGCATGAGGTCCAGGGTTTGAGCCCTAGCACAACAAAAAATAATTTGGAGGAAGCTAAAAAAAGATACAGATGCCAGGCCTTTCTAAGGCCAGTTCAGAACAACAGAGGAGGTCAAGGCAGTGTGTATACAGATCCAGTCTGCCCAGGAATTCTCCTGTGCAGGCCAGATTTTTATAAGCCAGAGGCTACTTGTGTTATTTTTAGGAAGACCAGGCAAGGGAGGAGAGCAAAGAGTCAGTGCTGCCAGGACCAGCAGTTGTTGGGCAGAGGTTTTCTGCTGTGAGCTGGAATCTAAAGGCTCAAAAAAGCCCTGTGGGGTGATTCAGTATCAGCAGCAACAATGATAAAGGTTAGAGAAAGCATAACAGTTTTGTGGGCTAAAACAGAATTCCTGAAGGTGGATGCGTTAATTACATTCATGAATTCCTCACCAGGGAAGTGTCTTATCAGCAAGCAATATCAAGATATCAAGCCAGTTCATATAGAGTTGGGAATTAAAGCAGTCACTTTGGCGCATTAGCCCAGGTGGAGCTCCAGGGAGAGTGTGATCTATCCAGCAAATGATTACTAAGTGATTCTTGGAAAAGGTTCTTTTTGATGGAAGGCAAAAGCCTTTCAAAGAAGGAAGACAGAATAATTGCAGGAGAATAAAGGAAAAAATATATTTACACATAGTGGCCTTGCAAATTTTATTCTTACGCACACTAAGTTCCCAAACTAACCTGTTATATGGTTTTCTCACAAAAGAAAATGATAACACGCACATCCCCTAGACAGGCAGAGTCTGGAATCATACAGGAGTTGGTACATTAAGAACCCAGAGCAAAGGCCTAAGGAAAGTTCCTGAGGGGATGTGAGGGAGGAGGGCTCAGCTGTGGCTGGTCCACACCCACTCTGGTTACTTCCAGTTCCACGGGAACAGTGCTCACTTCCGAAACACTTATACTGAGCCCCCTGGGATATGAAGTGCTATTCATAGGGTCCTGAACCACCCACTACATTTTGCTGACTCCCGGCCTCACAGTGCTGTAAGAAGGATGTGAAGCCAGGCATGGTGGTTCCCACCTATAATCCTAGCAAGCACTGTGGAGGCCGAGAAGCAGGAGGATGGCGAATTCAAGCTCAGCCTAGCCCAGTGATGGGAAACATTTTAGAAGTTTCGGTAATACAAACAGTCTGCTGCAGCAGGCAGGCCACAAGTTCCCCACCACTGGCCAATTTTTTGTTTTGTGTTTTTGAGATTGGTAGAGTCTCACTAGTTCATCTGGCCTTGAGCTCAATATGTAGCCTAGGCTGGTACTGAATTTACGGCAGTCCTCCTTCCTCAGCCACTGGTTTCAGTTTATCAATTTAGCAAGACCCTGTCTCAAAAACTAAAAAGGACTGAACCAGCATGGTGGCGTTTATCTGTAATTCCAACAGTCAGAAGGCTGAAGCAGGCAGATTGCTGGGAGTTCCAGGCCATCCCGGGCTACACAGAGATACCTTGTTTTAAAAAGTAAAACAGAACAAAAAGCTGGGCATGGTGGTACATACCTCTAATCCTGTAATCACAACACTTGAGAGGTGGAGGCAGGAGGATTGCTGCAAATTTGAGGCCAGCCTAGGCTACATAGTGAGTTCCAGGATAGTCTGAACTACATGGTGAGAACCTGACTCAAAAAACTAAAAATAAATAAAGGAGGTGGGGTGAGGAGTGGAAGCAGCTCAGTATGAAGGTTTTGGGTCTACTCCCTGGTACCAAAAAAAAAAAGGTGTGAAGTTGGCCAGGATATACCTAAAATCCCAGCTACCTGGGAGACTAAGGCAGGAGTAGGAGGATCACCAGTTCTAGTCCAGCCTGGGCAATTTACCAAAATCTGTGATTTATGGCAAAAAAACAAAGGGCTGAAGAAACAGTTCAATGCTTCCGCTTCCGGGCTTCAATCTTCTGTGCAAGGTATGTGTGAGGTGTGTGTGTGGGAGGGTGATCAACAATATAAAGGACAAGCAGAAGCAGAGAGAATGCATAGGACTATTTCACTTTTGGAAGATGAAAAAGTTCTGGAAAGCCATTGCACAATAACGTGAATATACTTCATTGTTAACTGCACAGGTTTACAATTATAAAATTTGTGGGCCGGAAATATAGCTCAGTGGCACAGCGCCTGCTTAAAAGCACAAGTTTCTGAGTTCCATTGCATATACGCCCCTCCCCAAAATTTATCAAATCGGAAATGCATGGGGACGCGCGCGCACGCACGCGCGCGCGCGCACACACCCACACCCATTGACGTAGGAAACGCGCACGCACGCACACCAGTTTAGTCTGCACAGGTCCTGCCAGCCGAGGACCTTCTCGCGCCTGGCTAGCCAGGTCGCCTGTGTTTTTTGTTGCCGTTGCTGTTGGCTCATCAAAATTGACAAAACGTCTCCTACTATTTGACGGAAGAACATATTTTCAAGACCTCTCTCTTATGTTGTTTTTTTCCCGTTTGGATGAACGATGAAGAGTGTTCCGCGTTGAGTCAGGCATACAAGAAGAGGACCATGCCCGTCAGGCCCCCGTCCCCTGGCCTCCATATATAGCCCAGGCCGTGGACCGCCCTGCCTTTTGTGCTGAGAGCTTCATAGGCGTTGTGTGTTCTTTGAGCGGCCATTGTAGGCGCCACATCGGCGCGTGCTGCAGCGCCGGGGGAAGGGGCCGAGTCCGGCCTTGCGCAGCAGCCCACATGCAGGTACTTCGGGACCCCGGCAGAAGGGAGGCAGTACCCCGGGGCTGTGCAGGATGAGCTACCATTACAGACTAGAGTTTCTGATGTTTCCATGACGCTGCTTTGGAACTGACCCAGCCCGGGTCGGGGGAGGGCGGCTGGAGTCTCCTTGCTCTTTGCCAACGCAAGGTTTTTTTCCCAGGTTCCTGGTCCTTGCAGGCGGGGGGTCCGCGGTGCGGGATGGTAAGTGAGTGGTGGCGGCGCTCTACGGTGTAAACAGTGGCTGGCGGTCGCCGCGGGGGAGCGCAGGGGTGATGATGACTCCCGGTGACTCTGAGTGTCTCGCTGACGCCTTCACCGCAGCGCGCTGACTGCCCCTCGGGCCACAGAATCCATACTTGGGCTAGGGGAGGTTGGTGGTCTGGAATTCATATTAACATTTCTATTTTTTTGTCTCAGTTGCCCAGTTAGTGGTCTTAAGCCGTCCGCCGGCCTGTTCTCCTTAAATAAAGGTTAGTGTCCGCCGTCAGAGCCTCTGCTGCTCAGCTCGTTTTGTTTCCAAGCTGTCTTTCCAGGGAACTGGTATCTTTATCCGGAGAAACAGCAGTGCAAGCCTTTTTCTCGGTAATTTTCTGCTTTTATCTTATCTTTTCCTTGTTAATCGCTCACTTTTTTTTTTTTTGGTACTGGGGATCGAACTCAAGACCTCACGCTTGCCAGGCAGGCGCTTATGCAGCTGAGCTAAATCCCGGCCCCCATGGTTCACATTTTGGGACAGGCTGTACTTAAGGTTGCCCTTGAAATCAGTATGTAACCCAGGATGGTCTCCAACTCAAGGCCATCCTCTTAAGTCTCCAAGTGCTGCGAGTCCAGGTTAGGATCACCGCCCCCGGTTTTGATCCTACTTATTTTTGTTCCAGCCTGGTTGACACACTGTCCACTATGGTAAAATAAGTGTATGAGTGCCCTGCAGGAACTGCTGTCTGCTGTTCTGAGTTATCTACTCTTTCCTTCACAAACTTAATCATCTCTGGACTTTAATTTGAAGGGTTTTTTTTTTTTTTTAAGACAAGATCTCACTGTGCAGTTCAGGTTGAACTTGAACTCACTTTGTAGCCCAGGCTGGCCTCAAATTCACAGTGATCCTCGTGCTCAGCCTCCTGAGTGCTGAAATTACAGGGCTGCGCCACTACACCCAGCCCTTGTATGCAGAGACAGTCGTCTTTGCATGTGCTAGTTCTCTTCCTTGAATGTGTTCCCTTGATCCAGATCTCCCTAAATTGGGAATGATGATTTCACAGACTAGAGTCTCTGACACTGGTTCTGATGTCAAAAATAATGTCTGACTCAATTTAGAGACCTGGATGTGTGGCTCTCCGAGAGGCTTTCGCAGTGCTGTTCTTACTAGTCCTGTTTTCATCTTTCTAGCATGAGCACTCTGGAACCCCAACCAGGGGCAGAGCCCCTTTCCAGAAATTCCACACTGACCTGATGCCTGGAAAGTACCCCTCCCCCGACTGTCAGGGCTCCAAAGATGCCTAGGTAGCCTTGTCTCCTCGGCAGGCTGTGACCTGTGGAAATGAAGCCCCCTCTGGGTACTGCGGTAAGTATCACTTTGGTTCCGGGCCTCAAGAGTGGGAATGATGACCTGGTTAGACTAGAGTCTCTGAGTTTCTTTGAGGATATTTGAAACCACCTGACCCATTCTTGGGCTTCCCCTCAGTCCTTGACAGCTCCCCAACGAGCCAGCTTCGTGTTTATACTGCTGCTTGCCTGCATGGTTCTAATGTGTCATTTTGTGAAATTTCAGGGTTTTGCTGACAAAGGATGTCTCCTGTCTTGGGTTGGCCAGATCCCAGGAGATCCACATCATTCCCATGGTAACCTCTGAGCGCTGTCAACTTATTGGGCAAAAAAGCTGGAAGTTTTGAGGCACTTTGTGTTAAGTAGAAAAGGTTCACTTACATTTATTTTGTTTTCTACAAGTACCTTTTATCAAGACAATTCCAATAAAGTATTTTAAAAATAAATAACTAGTGGATTATCTGGTCTTAAGGGAGAGGGATGATACAGAAGAAATTAAAGTGAGAGGCAACATGCCACCCCTTGGATGATCATTATGATTGAACTCCAGGTGTGCTTTATTGCCACGTGAAAATGCTAAAATCAATTTATTTTGCATATTTAATGCTGACCTTAAGAATTTCTAGGTTTTGACAACTGCTGCTATACTGCATGTTACTGACAGCACAGCATTTAAGGTTTTCCGTTCCGGTGACCTGTATTGTGGCACATAAATAGCCTTGTGACTGGGAAGGACTTGGTACTTGTTCAATGCTGCTGTTTGACAGGTGACTGCTGGCACATAAGAATGTGTGTTGGGGGTGTTTAGGTTTCTCGTGTTCTGTGTACATTTGTACCTGCTTTTTGCATCCCCTTAAAGTTGCGTTGAAGTTTTCAGATGCAGATGCACAGTTCTGTAAAGCTCAGCTTACCCTGCTGACAGGGTGACAACTTCAGGGCTGCGCTGTATCCCAGTCATTCCCGCACCCCCACTCTGCTGGGGTGTTAAACCCAGTGTCATGCAAATTAGGCATCCTCTTGAACTGGATTCAGTACCCAACACCAAAGAAATTAAATGTTTCAGCTAGGATAGTGGGACATGCCCATAGTCCCAGCACTCTGGAAGGCTGAGGCAGGAAGATCTTCGCAGCCTGGGCAATTGAGCAGTTTGGGCTCTTGTCTTCAAAACAAAACTGGAGATACATCTCAATGCAAAGGCCTTGAGTTCCAGTACCAGGGAAAAAAGTGGTTGGTTAAGTGATAGTTTCTTAGGTAAGCAACAGTGGCATGAAAGCTGTTTTTGTTTTGTTTTGTCTTTTTGAGACAGGGTCCCATCCTACAGTTCAGGCTGGTCTCCTTAGTTTCCCAAGTGCTGGAGTTATAAGCATGTGCCTGATTTTTTTAATACTCTCCAGTACTGGGGATTGAACCCAGGGTCTTGGCACTTAGCTGAAGACCCCAGCTCTTTTTTTGGGGGGGGGGGGAGACACACACACAAATTCTTAGTTACCAGATTGGGCTGGAATTTGAGGTCTTTTTGCCTCAGCCTCCCAGAATGCTGGGATTACATCTGTGCACTGCCATGCTGAACACTGTCAGTTTTGCTAGGCAGGACCCAAGACTCCTGGTGGGTGCCCAAAACAAATGCTGTATAGTGGGGTTTTTTCCTTATTGGTACGTTCTAACTTACAAGTTAGATGCAGTGAGAGTGGTAGAATAATTACGGCGTAACACTGGTTTCAAACCACTTGCACTGCACTGAACCCTGCCCAGCACAAAGTGAGTGCTGCGATACCTTGTAGCGCTTGAGCTGAACAGATGGCTGCTCGGTGAACCAGGTGGACAGCCAGCTGTCCTCTCCCCAGAGCAGAGGGAGCCTGTAACAGTGTACAACTTAGATGTGTTTTTCTAGCTTATGTGCTCCCAACTTAAATGTGATTTATTTCTCTAGTCTTCTGTATATTTCAGTGTTTAGTACTTGGACTAGCATTGACCACATGGGAAAGGAACTATGTACATGTTCCTACAGCACATTTCCAGTGTGATCCCTGCCCTCTAGCAAAAAAGAGCTTTAACTTTTAGTTTCAGAGCCTGCCTCTTGCTGTGTAGTTTAGGGTGGCCTCAGGCTTGCATCAGTCCTCTTGCGTCAGTCTCCTTAGTGCTGGGATCTCAGATGCACTACCATGCCCAGCAATCACAATAGGTCAGATGAGGCTGTAATTTGCATGTCTCTAGGTGGCTCTGAGCCACACAGGTGGTATGGGACAACCCCAATGGTTCGCAGCTGCCAGATGGATGTATGGGAGGCTCCAGACCATGGGAACATCTGCCATGCTCCCCCACCCTGTCTCAGCCACCTGGTATGCTGGGATTACTGGCTCAAGCCTGCTATCACGTGTTTTTCATTTGAAAATGCACTGTTTTGCAGTCAGGCTGAAGTCATCAGTTGCTATGTCCCCAGAACTTTAGAGTTTGTCCTATTTTGTGGAACTTGATCTCTAAAACATGGTCGTTTAAAATAGGCATTTTTAGCCAGGTGTGGCACAAACCTGTCATTCCAGCACTCAGGAGGCAGATTGCTTCAAGTTCGAGGCCCACCCGAGCTCTATACTGAGTTCAACGTGAATTTGAACTATGTAAGACGCAGTCTTAAAAGAAAAAATGGACACAAAATCCCCCCTTTGTCAGCTTCCTGTCTGCAAGACACTGCTTGGACATATCAGAAGTCACACAGTTAACTTTTGCAGAGTTGAGAGGGGTGTGGTAGGGTGTAATTTGACTTGCCCTTTTTATTCTGTGGGCTTCTGTATTGTCACTGACACTAGGGGTGGGACCCAGAGACTTGTGTGTCATGATAGAAGGTCCCAAGCACATTGCATTTGGCTCTCAGGTGGCATTTTTGTCTCATTTTAGCAACTACCATGTAGTTAGCATTTAGTTCTGTGCACTGCTTTTCATGTACTTCACCTCATTAAAGCTTTTTTTTTCCTGCACTGGGGGTCAAACTCATAACCTCTGGCTTGCCAAGCATGTGCTTATGCCACTAAGCTAAATCCCCAGCTCTGTTTTTTGTTCTTAAGGCAAAGTCTGAAATTTGCAGGAATCCGCCTGCCTCAGCCTCCCAACTGCTGGGATTACAAGCATGTGCCACCATACCTGGCTGTAGTGTTACGGTTTACTGGTGTCTTGAGGACAGGTTATCACAATTCTGCCTCTCCCTTTTGAGTGCTGAGGTTAGCACTGGGGTTAGGCCTGTATTGTTTTGTTACGGGAGATTGAACCCAGGGGCTCTGCACTGAGGTACATCCTCAAGGCTTTTTTGTTTTTTATTTTGATACAAGGTCTTCATAAATTGCCCGGGTTCGGCTGGAATTTACAATCTTCTTACCTCAGCTTCTTAGAATGTTTGAGATTACAGTTGTGCATCACCACATCAGACTAGTTTTAAAGATTTTTTAAAGAAATAACGGCCTAGCAGCACACTCCTATAATCCTAGCACTGGGGAGCTGAGGCAGGATGATCATTGAATTTGAGGCCAGCCTGAGCTACAGTGAGGCCCTGTTTCTAGATGCCACACCAAACCCACCCCAAACAAAAACTTTAAAATGCTGGGGCTGAAATTCATAGGTCCAATCTCAGGAGCAAAACAGTGATGTTTCTGGGACCTGTGATGTCCAAAGGGCTGAGCAAGTGCCAAAGCCACAGGACACATGCTTCCTTAGAGAACAGAGGTTGTGAAGCCGCACCAGGATCACAGCACAGAAACCCGGTCCCAGGGGAGCAGCTAGCAGGTGCAGTATCCTGTGAATCGAAGCTGACTCGGGGAATCGAGACCCCGGCTAGAGGCATATGCTCTAAACCAAGAGAGGAAGGAGGCCGGTGGGTCTCAGGAATAAAAACTAGAGGCCTGGGGCGCAGCTCTGGAGTAGGGTGCTTGGCCCCATCGGAGGCCTAGCTTCCATGCCAGCACCAAAAAACAAGGCGAGCCAGGTGTGGGGTGCACATCGTAACCCCAGCACTGGGGAGGCTGTGGTGGAGGGATGATGGGGTTGAGGTCAGTTAGAGCCACATAGGAAGACTGTTAGACATCTGAAAAGGAAAGTAATGCGGAAGAACCGAACAAGCGTGGCGCGCTATGCCCTGGGGAGCTGAGGCAGGAGCAGCACTGAGTTGGAGGCTGGGCCAGCCTGCGCAGCACAGGAGACCCTGGCTCAGAGAAACAAGCAGAACATGATGGCTGAGTCACAGACCGCTGGACAGAGGGCTCTGAGCTGAAAGAAGACTCCATCCGAGACCCTGAGCAGAGGAAGCAGGAAGGGTGGCAGTGGCTCAGAGGGGCTGCCGAGCAGGGTGGTCCACCGTCCGCCGCGGCACCCTGCACTCTCCTGTCCTCAGTGCTGGATGGAACCCAGGGCCTTGACCCCGGCTCCATATTACTGCCTTTGGTTTATTCTCCAAGGAATAAGGAAACATATCCCAGGGGTTAAAGTTCCTGCTGCCTTTTAAAGTTTACTGGGCCTAGTCAGGTGAGCGGCAGGTGGAATCGGTCAGAGTCTAGGCTGGCCATAAAATGTTCAATGCAGAAAAGGCAGTGAAGATTACAGTGTCAGTCCCTGTGCCCCAGCCACCTGATGACATAAAAGGCAACAAACTAGGTGAGGGCCCAAATGTCCTTGTCACAAGGCAATACTAGCTGGGCATGCTAGTAGTTCCACATTACTGCCTGGGAAGCTGAGGCAGGATGATTTTCCTCCTGGGCTACATAGTACAAGGCCAGCCTGAACTAGATAGTAAGACCCTGTCTCAAAAAAAACAAAACAAAAAAAAAAAATGGGGCTGGGGATTTAGCTCAGTTGCATAAGTGTTTACCTTGCAAGCACTCGGTCGAGAGTTCGATCCCCGGTACCAATTAAGAAAAGGAAAAAAGGCTTTTCTTCCTGCAGAAATGATCACCAAGACCCAGAAAGTAGACCTGGGCCCTGGGCTCCCAGAGAAAAAGAAAAAGAAGAAAAAGGTAGTGAAAGAGCCAGAGACTCAATATTCAATTATAAATGATGGGAATTATTTTGCTGGTACATCTCCTGTGAGGGCCACATCCCCCTCTAGGACTGTGAGCCAAGAGCATGCACCTGATACACCCTTGGTGAAGAAAAAAAAGAAAAAGACAGGCCACAGCACCCTTTGTGGGGAGCTCCCAGAATCTGAGCCCACATCACAAGTCAGACAGATAGAGAAATCACCCAGCTCCAGGAAACAGACCTGTGACTACTTGGAGTCCTTCAGTGGAGAGAAAAAAAAGAAGAGGAAATCCTTGCCTTTGGCCACATCAAAGAGCTCAGAGCTAAAGACCTCCCCCGACCCCAGACAAGGTGAGGAGGCAATCAGAGTTGGCAAGAAGCTGAAAAAACACAAGAAAGAAAAAAAGTCCCAGGATACCGCAGCCTGCTCAGCCAGGACTCTGCTGTGTGAGGTGGAAGGTGCTGTGTATGGACACACAGTGGGGAAGGAGGCCGAGGAGCAGGCGACCTTAGGACAGAAGCGGAAGAAGGGCAGATCCACAGAACACAGTGGAACAGTGAAAAGGAAGAAGAAGAAAGTCCACCAGGAGGAAGACTCCCAACTAAGCCACTCCCAGCTCTCTGGGTCAGTGGAGACCAGCCCTCGGAAAGAAAAGCAGCAGCCCGCCAGAGTTGAGGTTCTAGAGTACATCCCAATAGGAGATCACCCTACAGACCCAGTGAAGAAGAAAACAAAGGCTAAGAAAAAAGTAGAACCGCCAGTTGTTGAGCTGGCTCAGAAAAGGAAGAAAAAGAAGAAAAAAGGGAATGTGGGAGCAGCAGAGCCTTGGAAGGAGGAGCCAGACACAGACCTGGAAGTGGTGATGGAGAAGAAAGGCAACATGGACGAGACACACATAGACCAGGCGAGGCGAAAGGCCTTGCAAGAGAGACTGATCGGAATCAGGCAAGACAGAAGCATAGGAACCCAGGAATTGGACGGGAACCCAGTTGGCCAGTGGGATACTGCAGATTTTAAAAGCAAGGAACAGAAACTGAAATTTCTCAAACTTATGGGTGGCTTTAAGAATCTGTCCCCTTCATTCACCTCTTCCTCTGGTATGCCTGCAAGGCCCAACGTGCCCTCAGCAAGGCAGCAGCCGACACCTTGCAGCAGAAGTTGCAGCAGGGCTATGACCGGGCCATGAGCTGGAAGTACAACCGGGCGCTGGACTCGGCTTCTCTGCCACCCCCCCCCCAAAAAAAAAAGAAAAGGAAAAAAGAACACCAAAATATAAAAAAAAAAACCTGAGCTGTTCGTACAGAGAAGGCAGGGTAAATGACTCATTGTTTTCTTTTTTTTTTAAAGAGTATCACGTGTATAACAAATTGACAGAAAACATCTCTAAAGAGAAGTGGGTCATCGAGGTACACAACTGTAATCCCAGCACCTGGGAGGCAGAGGCAGGGGGACTGCTGGGAGTTTGAGGCCAGCCTGGGCTACATGAAGAGTTCAAGGCCGGCGTGACTACATAAAGACAAAACAAAACAAAACCTCCAGTAGTGATAGGAAATGGTTGCTCCCTTTCTCATATCCATGCATCCAGGAGTTTCCCCTTGGTCCCTTTGACCCTGTCAGATGCCCTCCTTCAACCCACCCAGCTGGCAACCCTGGGCTTTTGGTCCCAGACCAGAACTATGCATTTTTTTTTTTTTTTTTGGTACTGGGGATCGAACTTACAACATAGCGTTCGCCAGACAGGTGCTTATGCTGCTGAGCTAAATCCCTGGCCCTAAACTTAACTTGATAACTTGTGTGTGTGTGTGTGTGTGTGACCGGAAGTATGGCCAAGGAACAGGTGCAAGAAACAGGCATTGATCCTGGACAGTTTCTGATTTTTTTTTTAACATGAGGAAATACATTTTATTGCACTTTCATTATAAAAAAAAAAAAACCTTAGTTTTTGTCTGAGGCAGGCTCTCACTGTTAGTTCAGGTCAGCCTTGAACTCACCATGGCCCCGGATGTCCTCCAGCGATCCTCCTGCCTCAGCCTCGCAGTGCTGGGATTCCAGGCTGCACCACCTCACTCAGCCTCCTGGGCAGTGTTCTCTCTGTACCAGGTCCTCCTGGGAGCTTTGCATACTCACCTCCAACTTCTGAAATCTCAACTTTTCCAAGAATCCCAAAATCAGATTCGAGCATGTGACCCTTCTAGCTCAGAAGTCACACTATTCTTAAATGAAAGAGTCCCTCGACCTTAGTCCTCACAAGGAAACACTGGTTTGCTCTCTGTTGTTTCTGCTTTCTTCAGTAGTTTTTGGTCTATAAAAGGAACTTCCTTTCCCTGTTAAGCTCATCAGAACACTCCTAAGTACAGTAAATAAAACTGGGTGTGGTGGTACACACCTGTAATCCGGCACTCTGGAGGCTGAGGCAGGAGAGTTTGCCATTAGTATGAGGTCAATTTGGGTTACATAGTTCAAGGCCAGGCTGAACTACATCACAAAACCCCGTCCCAAGAAAAAATTACAGTTCATAAATAGAACTCATAAATGATGTACTGGCTTCAGATGTGGTTCCACTAAGTTCTGGGTTTGTGGATTTGAGGCTCCTGGAGGTGATTTTGGCACAGTTCCACCAAAGCTTGAACAGGGTCCAGATTCTTCCTCCTTTTTTTCAGTACTGGGGATCAAACCCAGGACCTTGCACATGCTACGTAAGTTCTCTACCACTGAGCTACACCTGTCCTTTTTAAAATTTTATTTTGTTAAATTACCCCCAGCAGGCCTTGAACCTGCAGTCCTCCTGAGAAGGAAAGAGGAACAAAACTTCCTCCTGAGAAGGAAGGAAAACCTTGGGTTAGGAATTTTCCAGAGACTTATTTTTCTGCACCATCAAGAATAAAACTGGGCGTGTGGCTTACACCTTTTAATCACAGCCCCTGGGAAGCTGAGGCAGGAGGATCAAGCCACAGGTTTGAGGCCAGCATACACTGAGTTCAGGCACCTCACAGTGAGACCCTGTGTCACAAAACCAAACCAGAACAAACCAGCCCAAAGCTAGGCACCCACTGAGGATTTTTCCCTTTTCTTTTTCTAGGACTGAACCCAGGGCGCGCTGAGCTACAGCCTCGCCTCTCCGTTTTGAGCCAGGCTTTCACTAAGTTGTCCCAAGTGGCTCAGGACTGAAGATCCTCCTGCCTCAGTGTCCAGAGTAGCTGGGATTACAGGAATGTGTCCACACTTAGTTTAAAATGTGGTTTCAACAAAAGCAAAATAAAACATAAAAATGTATTTTAAAAATATATTATTCAGGGTGTGTGGGGTGTAGTTCCAAGATCCAGCACTAGCAGGGCGTTCCTGGAGGCCTACCCAGTGTTTCAAAACCCCACAGCCCTGGGTAGAGACAAAACCTGCAGGAATGAGGTGGGGTCCTAGTGTTTTAAACTTTGAGATGGGTCTCCTTGTGTCATTTAGGCTATGAACTCATGATCTCACTGTGTGTCCCAGGCTGGCCTCTAACTTGCAGTGAGTGACCCTCCTGCCTCAGCCTCCCAAGTGCTGGGATGATAGGTGTGTGCCAGTGCACCAGCCTATCCCATGCTGCTTGCAGGCCCATGGACTGGCCTGTTAGTGTCCCATTGGGTAATGTGGTTCAGGAACCAAGGCAAAGTATTACACCGCTGCACCCTGAGAGCTGGTAATCTACGGGGAAATGAAGTTTTTGTTTTGTTTTGTTTTGTTTTGTTTTTTTTAGGTACTGGGGATTGAACTCATGACCTTGTGCATACCGGGGAAGTCCTTAAGCCGCTGAGCTAAATCCCCAGCCCTTGTTTTTTTTTTTTGAGACAAAAATCTCAGTGTAGCCTAGGGCAGCCTTGAATTCAAAGATCCTCTGGACTCAGCCATCTAAGTGCTGGGATCGCAGGCATGCGCCACCACACCTGTTTCTTAATCCTTCCTTTCAAACCCTGTTTCAGGATTACCAAACTGTATTAATAAGTGAAGGCTCCCTGTTGCAGGATGCCAGCTAGTAAATGAGGAAGCAAGAATGGAAGTTAAAAATCACTATTTTGCAACTCCTCATGAAATAACCGAATCAAGCAAGCTTCATGGGTCATTTGGAGGCTGATGGTAGAAATGCACGGGATGGGGTTGGGGCCACCTGAACCCCCTGTTCAGTCTCATTTACAATCTGTTTCCACAGCCAGGATGGTGGCGCACACCTGTGATTCCAGTGCTGGGAGGCTGAGACAGGAGGATCGCTGTGAGTTCAAGGCCAGCCTAGGCTAGTGAGACCCAGTCTCAAAAAAGTGAGGTAAAAAAATACAATCTTGCTACTCCAAAGTGGAATCTGAATCCAGCTAAACTGTTAGAGGTTTACTGACTGGAAACAGAAGGGAAGGAAGAAGTTAGACAACACATGGAAACAACCTGACAAATTCAGTACAATTTTCCACAGGACAAATGACTGACTGGTGGCATTGAAAACAGAGGAGAGCATTCTAGGAGGTTGAGGCAGGAGATTACACTTGTAATCCGGGAGGTGAATCTGCAAATCTGAGGCCCTGGGCTACACAGTGAGTTCAAGGTCAGCCTGAACTAACAGCAACGCCCTAACTCAAAAAAATCAAAGAAACAAACAAACAGAAACTTTCAAAATAGTCTTTTAAAAAACCAGTTTAGACTAGTTCTGAATTCACTGTAGCCCAGGCTGGTCTCAGACTCATGGTGAAATCACAGGCAGGATTCAGCCTTCTTCCACCTGCCAGGCTCAGGACACTTTATGGAGCTCCCCCTTCACCCCCTTGATGTGCATATGAAGAGCACCTTGAGCTGGGCATGGCACTACACACACGAAATTCCATCACTCTAGGAGGCTGGGACAGGAAGATATCATTTAGAGCCCAGTGTGGGCATACAGTGACTTAGTGAGATTCTGTCTCAAAAAAATAAATAAATAAAGAAGTAAGGATGGAGCCCAGCAGGAAGACCCTGAGTTCAATACCCAGTGCTGGGAGGGGGGAAAAATCCATGTGTTTTGTTTTTCCTGTTTTTTGCAATGAGAGATAATGAGAAAGGGAGAGGAGAGTTTGTGCTGCTGACCCGAGCCTTGCCGAGCTGTAAGCATGCCCACTGCCTCCCGACACTCATCCCGGTCTCCTGAGAGCACACGGAGAACTCAGACAGGAAGATGTGTGTGGACACAGCCACAGAGACACTACCAGTGCTCATAATTTTTCATTAAAAACTGTCACATTATAAACATCTGATCCATAAATAGAGAGGGAGGGTAGTGTAGCTAGTTCCTGACCTGAAACCAAACATCTGGCCCGCGCTGACTTTCACCGACCCTGATCCAAAGCTGGAGCTGGGTCAGAAGAAGCCTGGCCCCTTGGTTCCCTGAGTTCACAGTCACGGCTGTGCAGCCCCATCTGGCTCGACCTGGGAGGCACCAGACTGGAGGGCATCGCAAGGCGGCGCTTCTGGCGTGGCTGAAGAAAGTGCTCTCCTCGCCCTTGTGGGGCAGCTTCTCCGGCAGGGCAGAGCAGCTGACTCTGCAGAGTCTCAGAGTCCCACGGAGGGTGGCTCCACCGGCGTCGAGGCCGGGCTCAGAGTGTGCCATAGATGCTGACCTTGGCCATGGAGATGCTCTCGGTGTAGCGGCTCATGCCTTTCTCGTATAGCACATACAGCTGCGGCGCCTGGTTCTCCCCAGCCCTGCTGCCCTCCAATGCCGTGAGGGATGAGTAGCCACTGGGCCCGGGCCACAGCTGGACCTTTTCCTTCTGCCACGAGGTGCCATTGCTGAAGCTCCAGCGCAGGGTCAGGTTCACTCCTGGGCACAGGGACAGGGTCAGGGGCAGGGGTAGGGTGGGGAGGGTTCTCAACAGCCCCCCAGGCTCCCGGTACTCACGGAACTCTGGATGGGCTGGGTTGGAAAAGAAGATAATCCCCGAACTGGTGACTAAAGCTCCTGCAGCCACCACGGGGTCCACGAGCTCTCGGTCGAAGGTGATGTCTCGGGGCCTCAGTGTGTCGCAGGCGTCATAGCTGCGCAGGATGATCCGGCAGTGGCAGTGGTAGTTGTTCTGGTTCCGGGCATTGATAATAACCGAGCCATCTGGGAGCTCATAGGGCTGAGGGAGAGAACCAGGCCTCAGGGTAAGGGCAGCCAAGGCTGGGTACAGAACTCGGTGGGTGGCAGCTCCGAGGGCAGGGCAGGTATCGAGTGTGGGTGCGGGGTGCAGGACACTCCATGCTTGCCTCACCTGGCACTCATCGGGGTTGAAGTCATTTTCCAGCTTGGGCTGGCCATAGGGGATGCCACTGATCCCGCTTCCATAGCGCCACGTGTCACCATGGTCGTCGCTGAGGAGACAGAAGACCCCATCGCGCTCTAGCGTCCCGTGGCCACACACGATGAGCCGGCCCTTCCGAGGCTCCCACTTTTTCTGGGGGAAGGGGAGCTGAGTGTCAGAGGGGGATGCTGTAGGGGTCCCCTCCTCCCACGTGTGAGGACCCATCTGACCCCCTTCAGTTCTTTCCTTTTGGGTGGCTGAACCCAAGGTCTTTACACTGAGCCCAAGCCCTAAGGCCTTTTTAATTTTTCTGAGACAGACTCCAAATGGCTCAGCTGGCACTTGCCTTTGTCATCCTCCTGCCTCAGCCTCCCAGAGTACTGGGACTATAGGCCAGATCAGTTCTGTTTTTTACTGAGGGTCTCTGAAGAGTCCCCCTAACCAACCACCAGAATTAAGTAAGCTCTTTGCTACAAGTTCCTTGGGACATGGAAGATGCTCTGCTAGACTTGTGCCCAGCTACGGGCACAAGCTGACCTGAGCTCACCCACACCGCTGCATACCGGGACACAGGCTAGAGTCTGCCCAAAGGAGGGGCCCCCCTTCCCTACTCTCCATGAAGGCACCGCGCAGTGTTCTCCGTAGTCTTGCTGGCAAGGCCCACCAGGGGCAGCAGTGAAGTTCCAGCTTCCCAGGAATCCCACCCCAAACAGGAAAGCTGACTTTCCCGGACCTTCCCTCTGTGCAGCAGTCTCCTCACGACAGCGCCTCTGCCCATCACCTCCCAGACAGACCTGAATGCCAGAGCCCGGGCCAGGGGCAAACATCTCAGTGCCGATATCCATGGAGAGGTTTCGGGGTGCGCTCCAGGAAACGCCGTCGTCCTTGCTCCACACCAACATGGTGGAGGCCACCTGGCAGTGGAACTTGTGGGCACACAGCGTGTAGAAGAGAAACACGACTCCTGTCTCCGAGTCGCTCACCACCGCCCCCAGGTTGAGCCCGTCGGGCGCCTCCCCATCATCGAGGATGAACGCTGTGGAGGACCAGGTGCTGCCTGGGAGACGTAAAATGGGAAGAGATACAGAGCACGCTCCCTGGAGTGCACTTCCTACTGTTTGTCATTAACTTCCCGCCTCCCTTCAGGGACACAAGGTCCTGCAGGGCACCAGGGCCCAGACCCCAGCCCTTTCTTTCCTCCCTGACCTCAATGCTAGTAATCCCGGGGCGCCGCCTCTGCCACATTTCCCAGTACTTTCGTCTGCCAGGGCTCAGCATGGCCTAGCTATGGCCTGCTCACACGTCACCTCTAAACGCAACCAGACACTGACACTCCCCGCCACACTTCTTGCCATTTTGCTTTTCTCCATTATTCCATCATCATCCACATAAAAAACACACCTTTAGTGGAAATTCCACACAGGGAGCGACCTGGCATGTTTTGTTCAGGCTGTACAGATCCCCTCATTTAACGACCACCTAACCTAGTTAACAACTGCTCAGACCTGCAGCCAGGCAGCTCCGAATCCCACATAGAACCGTGAGAGGCCTCACAGTGGCAGCTTCTACAGCTCAGCACTGTGATTTTGTACCGCCCAGCAGGCTACCGGGGTGCTATGTTCAGCTCTGTGTTACACTACTGCAGGGATGAGCTATGCAAACAAAAGCAAAGTCATCAAGTTAGCGTTTCCTCTGACCGTTTCTTTGTTCTGAATGTTGTGACAGGCATTCTACATGCAGTTCCTCATTTAGCGATCAATTCGGCCCTCGACCAAATCGCAGGACCCTGACTCGGTCATTAAACGAAGTCTGTCTATTCATAGAACCCAGAATAGTCACTGTTCCAATGTAGGTGCTCAGTCAATGTTCGCTGAGGGCGAGTGGGCGCAGCTTACAAACTGGGCGCTTGCCAAGTATGCAAAGGCCTGGGTTCAATCCCCAGTACCACCGGATAGGAGGGGGAAGGCTGTCGAGTGAATATTTTTAGTTCGCCTGACACTTTCCAAACTCTTGCAATCCGGAACGGCTCAGGCCTCAGATTTCCTAGGGGGACCCTCAGGCCCCGGGGCCGGTGAGGACCCCCGCAGCAGACCCTGCACGGGCTCTCTTGACCCCCGCGCCTCCGTACCCTGATCCGTGGACCTCCGCAGCGCGATGAACTTGGCGCCCTCGTCGGACGCTGACATCTTCCTGGCCTCGGCGAAGGCAAGCAGTGTGCCCCGCGGGGTGGCCGTGATGAGCGGGATGCGGAAGGTGTCCACGGCACCGATATGACGGCCGCTCACCCATAGCAGCTGCTCCAAGGTCACCAGGGGCTGCACCTGCGCGGGAGGAGCGGGAAGGCGTCGCGGGTCAGCAAGCGCCGCTGCCTCTTTTCGCGCGCCGGGCAGAGGCTCCGACCCGGGCTCCGTGGCCCGGAGCGGGGACCCTGAGGGGCTGGGCCGGAGGCAGCAGCGGCGGCCCGGGAGGCACTAGCCGGGCGGGCGCGCTCACCTGGCTGAAGTCGTTCTCAGCCCTTGCTTGCAGCCCCGCCAGTGACAAGAGCAACAGAAAGACCGCGGCCAACGCCCGGAATCTCGCGCCCTCGCAGAAGCACGGCATGCCGACTCCACCACCAGCCAGTCGCGCGGAGCCAGATAACTCGGGCACCTTCCCGCCGGGAGGTGACTGCCTGGGGCCGGTCAGCTGACCTGGCTCTTTAAACCGCTCAGAAGCCGCCCCACGCCTTGACAGCCCTCGCCGCACTTCCGCGACTCTGATTGGCCCTTCCGCATGCAGGCGTCCGTCTCCCGCCCTTAGCGTCTCAGAGTCTGCTCTTCCTATTGGGCTTTTGGGACACTCGGGAGCGCGTGACCAGGATAGCAAAAGTCTATTGGGGAAGGTTTGGTGAGGAAGGCGAGCTCATCCAGGATGAGCCTTCGATTGGTCGTGACATCTGGCGCGCGCGTCACGGGGGCGGGGCAGGTTTTAAAGAGGCCGGCGCGAGAGGCCTTGCAGGCGTGTCAAGGAGCCAGAAAACACACTTCCTGAGAACACAAAAATAGCAATCTTTAATTCTTATTACAATCACTATGCATTTGGGATGTGTACCGCAGGCGCGGTACGGCTGGGCATGGCAGGGGCGCGGTCCCGGCGCGCTCACTTCTTCCCCTTCTTGTTCGCCGCCGGTGCCTGGTTCTTTTTGCCCAGGATCTTCAGCAGGCTCTTGGACATGTAGTAGGGCCGTTCGCGCGAGCCGTCGTTCCTCTCTAGGTCCTCCACTACGCGCGGAGAGATGGTCAGCGGCGGGGCAAGCCCGCCTGAGGCTCCCTGGATCCCCGTTCCCTTTTTCCCCAGCCCTGGCCTTCGAGCTTGGCTCCCGCAGCCCCGCAGCCCCGCAGCCCCGCAGCCCCGGATCCCGCACGGAGCTCTCGCTACAGGCCCCGACTGATCACTCACAGAAGCACAAGAACAGCGTGTCCACGCACATGCCGAATACGCTGAAGAAGCCGCTGGCAATGACATAGGCCCCCACGATAGACGTCTGCAGGACAACAGAGGCCGCTGAGTGCAGGTTCCTGGGGATGGGGCAGGATGGGGCAGGCCAAAACGAGGACACTCACCATGATGGGAAGCCAGTAATAGTTGAGGGTGGGATTCTCAAAGTCCTTACCCAGCCCCTTGATGCGACCAGAGAAGAAAAAGAACGACAGTACCCCTGCAGAAGAACCGGCAAAGTCATCGCTGCCCTCTTTTCGGAGCTCACCACATCCCTCCCCTCCGACCTGGAAGGCTTGGGCTCGCCTCTTACCCACGCCTCCGACTACCAGCAGCTTCCCGAAGAACAGCAGCAGATCTGTGATTTTATCCAGGACCACCACCCTGTTCGGGAAATTGTAAGCACTGAAAGCAGAACTGGCGCCCTAATTTGCAGAGACATCTGGGTGGACCTTGAAGTCATCCCTACCAGCACTCAGGGAGACTGAGGCAGGAGGGTCACAAGTGTGACTCTTGGTAATTTAGTGACAAGAGAGACCCTCGCTCAGATTTAAAAAGGGCTGGGGATGTTGCTGAGTGCAAAGGCCCTGGGTTTGATCGTCAGTAGCAACAAAAATGTACAAACAAAAAATTGGCAGGGATAGGTGGGAAGTGTGAAGTATTCACATTTCCGTGCAGTGACTGCAGAGCATTATTAATGCAAACCAGGGCCCTTCTGAGTGCTGGTGCAGCAGGCTAGGCCTCGCTCTGGATGGGCCAGTCTTGGTGGGATGGGCCAGCGGAGGAGGGCACTCTGCAGGCTTCTGAGCTTCCAGATGCGGTGGCCTCACCTGAGCACATTCCGCATGAGCAGCATGAAGGCATTTTTGGCTGAGACGCAGAAATTCTTCCCATAGATGGCGATCTGAGGGCAAAGCCAGGGTTGCCGCTCTGAGCAGTCCCGGGTGCCTGGGCCCAGGACACCGAGCAGAGGCGTGGGCTGTCATGCTCAACTCACCATGATGTACGCGTTTCGGTTCAGGAATTTGATGAACTTTTCCAGGCACCAGAGGCAGCACTTAAAGCAGCACATAATGCAGCGCGCCAGCGCATTTTCTGCTCCTGGGACATGGGAAGCTCGTTCAGCCCCTGGCCTCTTCTGCCCTGGGGCCCAGCGCGAACCCGGCCATGCCGATGCCACCCCTCACCTCTCAGCTTGTGGTCGATGTACTCCAGGACCATTCGGGCAATCTGCACCAGGCTCAGGATGAGAGCCCCAAAGGCCAGGGACCCGGTGTGGTAACTACAGGGAAGTTAAGTCAGCAGTCCTGGCCCTAAAGCCCTCCTCCCCACCATACCATGCTTCTGATCCCAAGGTCCTGCCCCCAGGGCTCACCGCAGTGTCCGAATGAAGGCCGCGGTCAGTGGGAAGGTAGGGATGTCCTGGGGCTTGTGGAAGGCCCAATAGAAGGAGGCAAAGGACCCAGCCAGGACACACTGGCCCAGGGCCAGCACCCAGTTCACAGTCCAGAAGAGTCCCAAGACCCCATAGATTTGCAGGTTGAAGAGGGTGCGCTGCACCTGGCCTGTGGAAGAGTAGTCCTGGAAGACGCACATGAGCCCCCGGCAGGAGTGGTTCCTGGACTGTTCCTGGGATCACAGGGAGGGCAGAGTAGGCTCAGGCCCACTTCCTTCCTCTCCAGGTTCAAGTCCCATGCAGTTTATCACCTGAGCACCCCAGAATCCGGATCTCTGGACCCACACAGATCCTAGGCCACCTGGCAGACTGACCATGTGTGTTAAGGTCCTGTGGCCCCCTGGGGCAGCCTTTGCTGCTTCAGTGGAAATACTTTCCAAGCCTGGTATGCTGATGCATGCCTATAATTTCAACACTCAGGAGGCAGAGGCAGGAGGACTGCTGTGAGTAGGCAACAAACAAGCTTGGGCTATATAGTGAGTTCAAGGGCAGCCTGAATTATACAGTGGGATCCTTTCTCAAAAAGAAACTAAAACAAAAATAATAAAGAAAACAATCCCTCAACATGCTCCAAAGTTGAATAGACTTGGTATTTGATAATATTAAGAAATTATTTTTCCGCCTATGGCAATGGCACGTGGTTTTGCTATGCAAGCCTGTGTGTGTGTGTGTGTGTGTGTGTGTGTGTGTGTGTGTGTTGCTGAAAATCAAACCTGTGGCCTTATGCATAGCTAGGCAAGTACTCTACCACTGAGCTATACAACCAGCCTTAGTTATGGTTTTTTTCTCCCCTAGTTGCACACGGCTTTATCCCCAACTCTTTAAATAAATAAATTAATTAACTAATTTAGTATCAGGAATTGAACTCAGGACCTTGTAATTGCTAGGCAGGCACTTATGCCACAGAGCTATATCCCTGACTGTTCTCCCAACCCTTTAAAAGTATTTTTTTATTTTATGACAGGATCTGTCTAAATTGCCCAAGTTGAGCTTGAACTTAAGGTTTTTCTGCCTCAACCTCCCGTTGTGCTGTGATTATAGGCATGGGTATGGGTCACCATATGGGCTCCTGCTCCTCATTATAATTTTAAAAGTCATTGATGGGGTCCACCCTGATATGTCTACATGTGAAATGGCATGATATCCAGAATTTGTTTAAATCTCTCAAGGACCAGGTAGAAGCTCAGTGCCAGTGCCAGTACCAGGGTGCTTAACCCCCAGACGTGTAGCTCAGGGTAGAATTTGCCCAGCATGTAAAAAGCCTGGCATTTACACTGCTGAAAACAACCCAAAATGAACACATTGTGTTGTTACCTCCTGGTGCATGTGTTTGGAAATGTCTGCAGTGAAAGCTGAACATGCACCAATGAAAACTGAGCCGGTTCAGCAAATCTTGCTGATTTCTGAAACTGAGTGGATGCTTGAAATTAAAACTTTTTTTTTTTTTATCTTTTTGTCTTTTTGAGACAATGTTTCACTCTGCAGTTCAAGCTGTCCCTGAACTCACTCTGTAACCCAGGCTGGCTTTGAACTCACAACAATCCTCCTGTCTCAGCCTCCTGAGTGCTAGGATTACAGACCATACCTGGCTCTTGACATTTTATAATAAAAAAATTTCCTGTTAAAAACAAACAACCAAACAAAACAAAAACCAACTTTGTGAGCTGGGGATGCAGCTTAGCAGCAATAGCATCTGCCCAGCAAGTGCGAGGTCCTGAGTTTGTATCCAGACACCAGACACACAGAAATTTCTGTTTTGTAAGTCACTGTGGGTGACAGCTTTTGTGCGTTTTGTTTTCTTGAGACAGGGTCTTGCTGTATTGTTCAGAATGGTCTTGAGCCCACTGTGTGGCTCAGGCTGGCCTTGAACGCAGCATCTGGACCCCAGCTCAGATGCAGTGACCACAGGACAAGATGGCTTTGAGGACAGTGAATGGTGAATGCTCAGCATTCAAGTGCTGCTGGTCCTGGGATAGCAGCGCCTCCCTCAGGACCCCAGAGCACTGCCCTGGGCTTGTTCTAGAAGAGGGAGACTTAAAGAATCAAAGCAAAATGACCCAGGGCCACTGGGCATGGTGGTGCATGCCGTGATCCCAGTACTGAGGAGGCTGAGGCAGGAGGATCGTTGCAAGTTTGAGGACAGCCTGGGCTACAAAGTGAGCTCAAAGCCAACCAGAACCGTAAAATGAGACCCTGTCTCGAAAAACAAAACAAAACAAAATGATCCTATCAGAATGCACATGTGGTGCTGAGTACTTTATGTACCCAACATCATCTAACCTTCTCTGGAGTAATTACCCCATTTACACAGCAGTGGACCAAGGTGACATAACTGATGGTGGCCAGGGTGGAGCAAAGTCCTTACCCAGCCCTGGGCCAGCCTCCCCGCCGCTCTGTCTCATGGGCATTGCCAGGCTCATTGTGTAGGGCTACAGAGCCCCTGGCTCTACCCAGGCCTTCGTCATCCCCCACAGTGAGAAGCCTGCGGTCCCCTGGATCCTATGGAGTCTCCTCCACGCTCACCAAGTTCTCCTTACCATGGGGTCACACGTCTGGTTCACTGGCGCTGTCTCGCAGCCTGGGGCACTGGTGTTGGGTGCCCAGTAAACGTACTGGGGTTGCCCGGATGTGGCCAGGTACCCAGAGGGGAGTTAAGGACCCGCAGTCACCCTCACCCAGCATCTCTACGGGCCACCCCTGGGAACTGCTCCTGTCCCCCATCCCCTTGGGCTCCGGAAGGGGCCCTTGGACAAAGGATACAGAGCAGTGGTGACCCAGTAGGCAATGCAGATGACCAGGAGGACAAAGGTGACCAGCGGGTAGAACATGGTTGACATCATGTGTCCCACAGCCCTGCCAGGAGACAAGGCCAATATCCAATGAACCCCAGCCTGCAGCAGTGCCACTTGTCCCCTCCTGGGGCCTGCTGAGGACCGACCCCTGCCCTAGCCAGAGCCTGTCTCTGTTCCCTTGGCTGGGAGCAGTGATTTTATGGTTCACACCTTTGCAGTGCCTGCTGCGGGCCACGAACCCCACAGATGAACTGATGAAGGCTATGAAAGGGGTACACCCAGCTCAAGGGACTTGTGGAGGACACTGGTCACAGAGGCCACCTGGCTGCTGCAGGGGGAGTGGGGGAGAGGACCCCCAAGATTTCCCGACTCCTGGGAGGGAGGGTGCTGCTGCTCCCTGATGCCTGGATGCCTGCCAGCTCCTGGACTCCAGTGCTCCCCGAGCCCCAGCTCATCCCACCCTCTGTGCAACGTTTAAGGCCAGAGCTGCTACCACATGGACAGGGAAGCAGCACGCTGAGGAGCTGACTCTCAGCAGGCTTTTTAGGATTGTGTTTTGGGGCTGGGGATTGAACCCAGGGCCTCTGGACTGCTAGAGCCCCATTCCACCACCCCCCTTTTTTTGCCTTTTGCAACAGGCTGGCCTTGAGCTCACTTTTTAGCCCAGGCTCGTCTCAAACTTGCAGCAACCCTCCTGCCTCCCGAGTGCTGGGATTACAGACGTGCACCACCATGCCTGGCTTTGCCTGGCTGTGTTAACCACAGCACTGTTCTGCCCTCCTCCCCTGGGGCTCCCTGGCAGCCCCCACACCCCTGCCCTAGCCTCCTGGGCAGCTGCTGACCTGCTGGCCTCTGTGAGGAGGGCAATAGCGATGCGAATGCGCTGCCGCAGGAAGATGAGCAGGAGCAGCAGGATGCCTTCGAGCACGGCTAGTATGATCACTGCGGAGGACAGTGCGGTCAGGGCCAGCCGGGGCACTGGTAGGGACTGCGGGTGGATGGCAGGTGGGGACACTCACGGGCAGCCAGCCAGGTCTCCTTGACGCTCTGGTAGGCGCTGAGGTTGGTGGTGAAGCCCACCTCGGACAGGGAGGGCGCCCCGTTGTCGCGCAGCCAGCGGTACTGCTCCCAGCAGTGGTAGATGCCATAGGCCAGCACGGCCAGCAGCGCCACAATCAGCACCAGCACTACAGGCCCGGCCACCAGGCGCAGAAGCAGGATGAACAGCAGACTCAGGACCAGAGCCACGCCCAGGGCACTGTGGGCCGGGACACGGGAGGGTCATCAGCGCCCCTAGATCACCTCCCTTTCCTGTCCCCACTGCCTGTCCTCCTGCAACCTGCTGTCCCGTCCAGACCCCCTTTGCCTTAAAAACCCTGGGTGTTGGGCCAGGGGCTCAGTTCAGCGACTCAAGGACCTGCCTAGTAAGTTCGAGGTTGTGAGTTCAATTCCCGTTACCAAAAAAATCAGTCAATCCATCCTGGGTGTTTTTGGTCCTGTGGGATGCACCAGGGCCTTTGCTTTGAGCTACATCCCCACCCCCTTTTTAAAAAATTCGAGACAGAATCTTGCTCAGTTGCCCAGTTACCTTCCTGTCTCAGCCTCCTGAGGGCTGGGTGACAGGTGGGCACCACTGCACCTGGCTTTGGGTCTGCTTTGAGCTCCAGCTCCCTGTCCTTTACCTGCAGACCCTGGTTCAGACCTGGCACTGGGGGCAGTGGACCAGGGAGAGGAGGAGGGAAGACGAGGGGGCGACCTGGAGACTTACACGAGAATCCAGTACCAGGATCGGGCGAAGTCTTCAAAGATCTTCACGCTGATATCACGGGCGTTGAGGCTGTCCACGAGGCCGCTGTGGGGAGTGCTGGGTCAGAGGGGCCACGGGCTGCAGAGGGGTGGGCAGGCCTGGGGGCGACGCTGCCTACCTGACCGCCTGGGACATGCTGCCAATGACCTCCCCTGATATGAAGCTGTAGCTGTCGTTGGCAGAAGGGAAGCAGCGCCCCAGAGCTGCGGGGAGAGCAGGGGCCGGGTGGAGGCTGAGCCAGTCGCCCTCCGTCCCTCCTACCCTGCCTGGGTCGGATGTTCCCTACCACCTTCCCTGACTCCCTGCGCCTCCCCCCCAAACCCTCGCCTCCTGCCCTGTTCCACTCAGGGCCACTCCTTCCTCCAGATTTGTCCCTGTCCTTGGAGTACCTTTGTCCCCTGTCTACAGAGCCATTTATTGCCACCCTAGAAACTTTCCCAAGTGACACTGTCATTTACATTCTGAGCTGAGGAAGCCAGAGTGAGAGAGGTGGCTGGGTTGGCCTGAGACTGCCTAGCTGGACTCAAACCCTGACCAGCCTGGGCTACAAAGTGAGCTCAAGGCCAGCCTGGACTACATAGTGAGACCCTGTCTCAAAAAAATAAAATAAAATAAAATAAATAAAACTTTACAGGCTGGGGCATAGCTCAGTGGTAGAGTGCTGGCCTGTGTGAGGCCCTGGGGTTGAATACGTGTGCACACACACACACACACACACACACACACACACACAAACACTTCTTTTACAGTTGGAAAGACGAAGGGGTATATAGTGAGATGGTTTACCAAACCAAATCAAACAACTGAAAAGAAGAGCATACAGGAAAATAATCGCTGTGATCCCGCCACTCAGCCGGATTCTCTCTTGTAAATTTCATGGGATTTTCACACATTTTCTCTGTGACAATCTCTGATGTCTCCACTGAGATTCCTAGAATGCAGGCTGAAGCAGGAAGCACCTCCCAGCCTCCCTGACTGGCCCCGGGTCTGGCCTGAAGTAGGTGCCCCTAGAATGCTGATTTTCGTGTATCATTTTTTGTCCCTTTCAGAGGCAGTGTCTTGCTGCATAGTCCAGGCTATCCTTGGACCTACTGTGCAGCCCAAGCTGACCTCGAACTCATGGTGATCCTCCTGCCTCAGCCTCCAGAGTGCTGGGCTCAGTGGCATGCACCAGCGTGCCTGGCTCAAGTGCTGAATTCTGACTGCGGGGTCCCGCAGCAGAGAGAGATGAAGAGCTGGCAGCAGCCACCCAGTTTTACCACCGATGAGCTGTATGGCACTACTCTCTCTCAGTTCCTCTTAGGAAATAAACCTGCGGGAGGAGGTGCGGCCAGAGGGGCAGTGTGCAGCTCACCTGGGGCAGAGGGGAGGAGGAAGCGGGGGCAGAGGTCCTGTTCCAGGCTGTCCCGCACCTTCTGCAGTGGGGAAGGGGAAGGGGGGGACACAGCATACGGAGGAAAAGTGGCCATCATCCCACACCACCGCAGGCTCTGCTGGCCCACGCTTGCCAGGGGCCCAATCAGCAGTCGCCTCCCCAACCTCCCTGCCACCCCCGCAGCAGCAAGCCCCCCCCAGGTGGGCCAGGACAGGACGCCTTGGCAGCCACGCTCACCATATCGGAGGGCACACCTGGCAGACAAAAGCTCCTGTTCTGGCCGTAGACCTCACCCACCGTCAGGGAAAACTCATCTGTTCCCACGGTCCACGGCGTGGCTGGGCAGGAGGCCACGCACACCTGGGGGCCGAGAGAAGGTGCTAAGGGGCTGGACCTGTGGCTGGGCCAGGAGGCAGGTGGGTGGGCGGTCTGACCTGCGGGGTTGGGCAGCGGAGGCCGCTCTGCACAGCCTCTGGGACATTGGCGGCCAGGATGCAGCTGAAGATGTTGAAGTACAGGACGTAGGGTTTGTCCCTACGGGGAGGAGTACAAGGTTTCAGAGCCCACTTGATCTTTGGGGACAGGAAGGAGCGGCAGGGCAGCCTCCCCAGAGCTGCGGGGCCGGCTCTCACTGAGAAGCCGGCAGGCTTTTCCGAGCACCTGTTCAGTGCCCAGGCCACCCCTAGTGGCTTTATGAGGGTGCCCGCTCCTGGACAGCTCTGCCCCCGCGTCCCAGTCTAGGGTCAGATGACAGCAGCTCCTGCTGGGTGTGGTGGCACACGCCTGCCCTCAGCACCCTGAGAGGCCGAGGCAGGAGAATGGAGAGCTGCAGCCCAGTCTGCGTGACTTAACAACTAACTATGTTTTAGAGTAAAAACTGTTTTAAATGGGCTGGTGATTCACCCCAGTAGACCTAGCACTCCACAGCCCAAAGCAGGAGGATTTTCTAGTGTTCAAGACCAGTCTGAAATACATGGTGAGATCTCAAACAAACAACAGGACACAAAGGCTGGGGCTATAGCTTAGTGCAAAGATCCTGGGTTCCATCCCTGGCACTGGGGGAGAGGGGATAGGACCTATCTTGCCAGGTTTTATTTATTTTTAGTTTCACTTTTTACTGGGGATTGAGCCACATTTCAAGCCCTTATTATTGTGTGTGTATATATATATTTTTTTCGAGAGGGTCTCATTATGAAGTTCAGGCAGGCCTTGAACTCTCACTATATAGCCCAGGCTGGCCTCAAATTTGAGGCCATCCTCTTGCCTCAGCCTCACGAGTGCTGAGATTATAGTTGTGCAACACCAGGCCCAGTGGGTGGTGTTTGTTTGTTTGTTTGTTTGTTTGTTTGTTTTGGAGACAGGGTCTCACTAAATAGATAAATTGCCCAGGCCAGGCTGGAATTTGCAGTCCTCCTGCCTCAGCCTCCCAGAGTGCTGGGACTACAGTGTGCCCTACCACACCCAGATCTCATGGACCTTGGAGTTTGTGTGTGTAAAGTATACTGCCTCCCGGAACATAGTAAACACTGTATAAATGTGACAGGGCTTCTTATTTATTGAACATTTCCTGCATGTGGGGATGGATGGTGTTACTCGTGAATCACCTTGTACAGGAAATGGAAGCTCAGGGAACTAAGGAAGTTGCCCAATGCCTTGCAACCAAAACTTAGCACAGCTGGGGATGCAAACAGCCGCCTCTGTGCCACAAGGCTGGGGTGCTGCAGCTGCCTGTCAGGGAGGTAGGGGCGGCTCTGCCGGGGGAGGTGGCACAGGGTGGCATGGGGGGGCACAGGTGGGGGTCCCTCACGGGGCCTCAGTACTCACTTGTTCTCCCCAACCCCGCAGTAGGCCCCGGTGGAGTTTCTGGGGTAGAGGACCTGCCGGGGGTCTCCGTACACCCAGGCTGGAGACAGGGATGCACAGATGAGTCACAGGTGGACCGAGATGGGGAGCCCCTGCCCCACAGCCCCAGTTCTGGGCCACTGGAAACTCACCCACGAGGCCCACGGCGATGTACCCCAAAATGAACACCAGGAAGAGGAGGCAGCAGATGATGTCGGTGCAGCCCCTGGGAGAGAAACGAGAGCCCAAGCTGGGGAGACTTTGGGGAGGGATGTGGGTGCACTGTCTGGAGGGGCTGGAGTGGAGAGTCAGGCATGCTCAAGAGTGAGCCAGAGAGGGACAGACCTGGAATCTTGGCACTCTGGGAGGCTGAGGCAGGAAGATCACACACATTCAAACTCAGCCTGGGCAACTGAGTGACCTAGTGAGACTCGGCCTCAAAATTAAAAAACAAGCAGAGAGGGATGGGGATGTGCCATCTTTCTGGGTGGGTGTTTTCTTCTGAGGTACATGGAAAAGCACAATTTGGGTGCGGCAACATGGTAGGATCTGTGCTTAGCATGTGCAAAGTCCTGGAGTTCCCAGGATCACGCACAGGAAAGCACAGCCCATGAGTGCTGGGGTGGGTGGGCTTTCCCCAAACACACACCTATGTAGCTAGCGCTCAAGTCCAGAAACAAAACGTCCCCGGCCCGTAGCAGGCCACCCACTCTCCCTGAACAGGAATTTTTCCAGGTCTTTTTTTTTTTTTCCTGTGATAGGGTCTCACTGTGTGGTTCAGGCTCAAGACCCTCTTCCCTCAGTCTCCCCAGTGCTGAGATTGCAGCTGTGTGCCACTGTGGCAGAAGTGTCTTACTAATATTTCCACAAGTATAAAGGAAAACCAGGACCCCCGCCCCGGGGCAGCGCCAGAACTCACCTGTTTTTGATAGGGCCTCGAAAGGAGGGGTCATATTGGGCTGGCTTCCCTGAGGGCCCAGAAGGGGAGAATGACCCTTCATCACCCCATGTCACACACATCCCCCTTGGGTCCTCCCGCCTGGTCTGGTCTCAGCCTCCTGCACGGCAGGAGAGGGAACTGGGAGCAGATCCAGCCAGAGCTCAGCCGGGAGGCAGGAGGTGGGCACAGGGCCTCTCTGGGTTTCTGGCTCAAACCTTAGGCTGTGTCCCCTGCTCTCACCCTGGCAGTTTCTCCTGAGGCTCCCTGCAGCTGGATGCGGGGTTCCCTTCTGTCCCTGTCCTTCTCTCCCTGTGCTTGCTCCGTGAGACCATGGGGGACCCAGAGCCCTGGGGAGGTCACCGTGCTTCTTGGGACGGCTCCAGGTGCTCCCTCCACCCTCCGGCCCAAGGCTAAGGGCAAAGAAACTGGGGCCAAGGGCATCGACCGATACAGGGCTGAGGGGGAGGCGGGTGCCGCGTGCAGACTCCACAGCAAAGGGATCTCAGTCCCCAAACCACAGCAGAGCTCTGGGTGGCGTCAGTGACACCTGAGCCGCTGGCGGTTGAGGCTGTGGCCACGTCCTGTTCCTGGTACTCCCTGGGTACACACGGGAAGGAGGTGGGGCCCAGGATAGGGTCCTGTGTGGACACTGCGTTGAGGGCGAGGGCTGAGCCTTGGAAGCAGTGGGTAGCTCCTTCAGGTGCATGGACTCTGTCCCACTCAGCTCCAGCTTCCCGGCAGGGTCAATGATTGACCCAGAGCCACTCCAGGAAGTTTGGACGAGGTGCTCTACTCAGCTCCTTCCCATCCTGTCCTGGGTCCCATCCTGGGTCCCGTCCCATCCTGTCCCTTGGCTTGCTCCCTCCAGCCGGCTGGACCCTTCTCTCCGGCTCTGAAATCAGGATCTCCAGCACACCTGGCCCTTCTTCCAAGTACACGAGATGGCTCCCAGTCCTCGATCCCTCCCTGCTGCAGGTGCTGCAGTCGCTGAGCCCCAAGTCCCATGCTGCTTTTCCTGCTGAGACCCCACCTCTTCCACCTTCCATCCAGTCTTTGTCTGCTCGGCTCTGCCCTCAGGGGCCCTGGGGACTCCTGGCCTGAAAACCTCTCCCTACATCCTTCAGGGACCCAAAGCCAGGAGCCCAACCCGACCCTTGCTTCAGCCCACAAAGCAGCCCCAGCCACTCCCGGCCTCCGGCAGGACCTGGCTGTGCCCTCCCCACCTGGGACGCTGGGTTTACCAGGGCCCGCAGAGCCAGGCCACCCACCCTCCAGCCCGGCCTCCGCCCAGTCTCACCGTGCGCCTCCGCCTCGCTCCGCTTTCCCCCCATGGCTCGGTCTCCGGAGTGACTGGAGCCCGGGAGTCAGGGAGACCTGGCCGATCACCTGCACCCGCCCCGCCCCAGGCGTCACGGCCCCACCCCCGGCTCCTGGCGCGCAGTTCCTCCTTCTGTGCTGGCAGCTCCAGGACCACAGTGGGCAAGGGGAGCTGGGGGCCAGAGCTGGGGCTGCAGCCCCAGCAGGCGCAAGTGCCAACTGGAAAGCGCTGTGGCACTTCACAGCACTCAGTCCCTGGGGTGTCCCCCTGCCAATACCCTCCTGCCCAGGATTCAGTGCCACCTCTTCTGTCTGTCCCCGAGGCCCACCCCATGCAACCACCCCACCCACCGGTGGCTTCCCATAGCCTCCACCCCTCCAGCCCTGTGTGCTTCCTCACTGCCCCACAAAAATCACGCAGGCAGTTTATTACGAAACGGACTTTTACTGAGGAAAAAGCCATCCAGTTGGCACAGAGGCACAACTTCAATTCATCCATCGTCAGTGAAGGTTGTGGCCGGCTCCGCAGTCAGGCTGTAGTGAGAAGCCGGCTCCAGGGACAGGGCTGACAGACCTCCAGGGCCTGCAGAGCCGGCGGGAATGTGTGAAGGGCTGCGGGGGAGGAGGTGGTGGTGTGAGCACCAAGCAGGGAGCTGGTGGCCTGGTGGCCCAGGGCCAGAGTGGTCCATGCTCAGGTGTTGACAGGGGGCAGGGGGCCGAGCTCCGGCAGCAGCTCAGGGTGCGGGTCCAGACGGGCCAGGCGGCTCTGCTCCAGCGCGATGGCCTCTGCTGAGTGCTTGCACTTCTCCGAGCCACACTGGCAGGTGAAGTACTTGCTCTTGATGTCCCAGAATCGGTCGCCGTAGTCGAAGCTGTCAAGGGCAGAGGTGCAGGTGGGATTTGGACTCAGTTGCCCAAGTTCACCCCCAAAGACCCCGTGGACCCTGCTCCCTGCAAGGACCTAGGCCTGTGTGTTCCGTGGTCCTGCAGCCTCGGTCTCACCTTGGGACTTACTAGAAATGTGGGCTCCTGGGCCCCCTCCTGAGCCTCATGAGTCCCAATCTCAGTGACCCCCAGGACTCTGGCTAGAGCCTTTTATGTTGAGTGTTCCATTTCTGGAACAGCATATTACAGTGGAACAGAATAAAAATTTTCCTCAAGGGCCAGGGATCTAGCTCAGCGGCAAAAGCGCCTGCCTGGTAAATGCGAGGTCATGAGCTGGATCCTCGATAACAAAAAGAAAAACAAACAAACAAAAACAAAACAAATCATAACATTTTTCTTCAAGTTCTTGTTCCTTCAATTTTTCTAGATAACACATATGAATTTCATGCAAACATTCAAAAAATTGCCAGCTTTGGCATAAACGGGTGAGCAGGTCCTGCGAGGCACCATCACACACTGAGGTCTGAGCAGCTCCTGGGGTCCCCCGCCCCAGGTCTCCAGGCCTGCAGGGCCCTCGAGTCCTGCCTGGTGACAGTGCCTCACCCCAGCTCCTCCCCAGTGCGGATGTCTCGGGAGCTGAAGAAGGCAATACGTGGAAACCGCAGGTCCTGGTGCAGCATGAAGACCCGGACAGGGATGATGTTGGGGTCGCACAGGTGGTTGATGAAGCGGCTGATGTTGCCGTAGTAACGGGCATCGATGCAGTAGACCTCTCCATCCTGGGGGAGGTGCTCTTCACTCTCTCGCAGGGGCAGCCCTGTGCACCGACCCCAGCCCTCCTCCCCGGAGCATCCACCCACCTGCTGTCTGTCTGGGTGGAGGGGCAGCAGGGCACCCACTCACCTTGTTGTCCAAGTCAAAGAGGTAAGAGTCATCCTCTCTCACGTCAGCCTCGGCATCGGAGATCAGCTCCCCGACGTACCTGTTGGGTGGGAGCAGGTGGTTCTGGGGCCAGCAGGGTTGCAGGGTCGTGGGCTTGAGACAGGTCTCCCAGTTCCCAAATCCTCTCCCAACCCTCAGTTGCCTCCCTGCTAGGAACTTCACAGATTGGGGACCAACACAGGTGCCCCAGATGGGTGGCGAAAATGAGAGGTGCAGGGGGGTGGCTCAAAAGCAGGGCCTGGACCTGGAACACAGAGTCACTGTGGCCTGGAACCTGGCACTGGCAGGGAAGGGAAGTGCGCTTGGCTTTAGACTGGCCACGGTGTGACGAAGACTTGGCTTGCAGGGGCAGGAAAGGGTTCGGCCTGGGTGGAAGAGCAGCTGGTGGCAGTGGGCATGGATGGCCTGGGCACAGGTGGGGGTGGCAGTGGGGGCCAGGCGGGCTGACAGGAGTGGGCAAATGCCCGGAGAACCAGGTCAGAAAGACAGATGAGGTGGGAGTGAGAGCGGGGCAAGGGCAGGCTCCGGCAGCAGGCAGCGGGTATGGAAGCAGCCCAGCAGGAAGCAAGGGGACACCAGCCGGGATACCAACCAAGGACAGCACTGGCCAGGAACCGGATAGGCTCCTCAAGGGAAAGAGGTGCCCACAGATTTGTGAACTGGGGGCCCAGCGGGTGGGGGGGGTGGGAGCCTGCGACGCACTGCACCCAACTCACTCGCAGATGAAGGTGCCCTGGGGGATGGTCTGCAGGGCACGGACACCCCAGCCCATCTTGGCTGTGCGGTAGAGCTGCAGTCGCACCCTAGGGCGGAGAGAGGGAGACCCTGGGTGCTGGGCTGGGGGAGCTGGGAGGGGGGGGGCGGGCCGGGGCCTCACTTGATGCCACTCTGCACCACGCGGTTCTTGCAGTTCCTCCAGCAGGAGCAGGCCTGGTTACACTCGAAGATCAGCGGGGGCTCGATCTTGTTGAACTCCTGCAGCAACCGCCCATCCTGGATGGGGTGCGCAGGGGGAGGGTGGTGGCTTCTGTGTGGGGCCCAGGACCCCCAAGATGCCGCAGGAAGTCCAGCGCTGACCCCAGAGCCTGGGCCCATAGCTCCGAGGCCAGAGACCAGGAAACACTCAGGCCAGGAGCCTGATTTGCATACGCCTGGGAAGAGGCCCAGGCCTCGGCCCCGCCCTGCCATCACCCAGGCAGGTGGCAGCTGGCAGGGTCTAGGGAGGTGGCAGTTGCATAGGGCGGCCAGGCCAGGGGTGGTGGGCACCCACCTTGTCATACCAGCACCGGATGCTGAGCTGGCCGCACAGGCAGTTGGAGCTGGAGCAGTCGTCCACGCACGTGCAGTGCTGCGGCAGGAGTGGAGTCAGCACCCGAAGGGTGGCCTGGCCACACCCCGATCCCTCCCTGGGACCCACATTTTAGGACAGGGCTGGTGATGGTCCCAGGCTGAGGGAAGCCCTATGTGCCCAGAGTCACCCAGGCAGGCTATGACTATCTTCTTGTGGCCCAGGACAGGTCCCCTTCCCAGGTGGTCGGGCCCCAAAGCCCACCAGTGCCCCGCACCTGCAGGTGGGTGATGTTGCGGTCAATGTTCATGGTGGACGTCTCGCAGTTCTCCGAGATGTACTTATAATCCTCGGGGCAGGGCTCCCCGTCCACACCATTCACGCAGGGGATGGGCACGTTCTCGTAGCCCCTGGCCACATCCCTACAGCACAGGAGAGATGGGGCCTGGGCTGGCACACGGATGAGGGGCTCCCTTAGGTGTGGCAGGGAGGGGGGGGCTCTGAGGGCAGGAAAACTGACACTTGGGGGTTCAGCGGGTTATGAGGAGTAAGGATACCCAGTAAAACGCGATATGCTCAAAGCTGACTTTCATGTCACTAAGAAATAACACTTTACCTTTTCTTTTCTTTTTTTTTTTGTCTTTTTCCTTTTTATCGGTACCAGGGATCGAACTCACGACTGCCTGCTTGCAAGGCAGGGGCTTATGCCGCTGAGCTAAATCCCCAGCCCCCACTTTAGCATAATTTTGTCCCAATTATTGCACGGTACTTTTTTTGTGGTCAGGAGATGACCCAGGCCTCATGTACACTAAGGCAAGAGCTCTAGCGCTCAACGATTCCCCTGCTCGTGTTCACTTCATTCTGAGGTGTGGTCTGGCTAAGTCGCCTAGGCTGGCCTCAAATTTTTGATCCTCCTGCCTCAGCCTCGAGTGGCCGGGATTAACAAGCATGAGCCAGCACATAGGATATTTTGTTTTCTTTTTTTGTACCGGGGCTCGAACTCATGTCTGTGCACTTGCAACACAGGTGCTTATGCTGAGCTAAATCCCTGGCAGGGATATTTCATACTAAAAAAATATGTAGTTTTTGTTTGAGACGGTTCTACGATTGTGCTGAGACTGATGTTGAAAGACAGTCCTCCTGCCTCAGCCTCCTGAGTGGCTGCACTGGTGTTACTGTCTGGCTTTCATCTGAAATTCCAGTGTAGCCAGATGTCTGCTTTATCGCCTGTATTTGTGAACCACAAATACAGGACCCGGCAGCCACGGGGGCCCAGGGGCTGGGGAGGGGGTGGCAACGGCACAAGGACTTGGGCCCTGGGCTCACCGGCAGATGATCTTCTCTGTGCGGATGGCCCGGTTTCCCACCCCGAGCCGCAGCTTGCGGTTGAGCTGGAGTGCAAACCACACATCGGAGCGCTCCGGGGTCAGGTCCCATGCTGTGTCCCCCTCCTTGTTGCGCAGCTCCGGGTTGGCTCCGCGGGACAGGAACAGCCTGGGAGGGCAGAGAGCGGGTAGTTTGGGTGTGGGGTGGGCGGGCAGGGAGCCCGTGGGCGTGTGCATATGTGGGCGGGGTGTGGGGCTCACAGCACACAATCGTGGTAGCTCTCCCTGGCTGCAATGTGCAGGGGTGTGTCCCCATGGTAGTTGACCGCATGCAGATCACAGCGCGCGTTCAGCAGGACCTCGGCGATGGCGGCACTGCCGGTGAAGGAGGCCCAGTGCAGGCAGATGTTCTCTTCCTGTGGGCCGAAAGGGCCCGTGAGCGAACCCCAGCCAACCCCACTTGCACTCTGCCCTATCCCCTCCCCTGGTGGCCTGCGCGGGCTCACATTGTCGGTGAGGGTGACGTCGGCGCCCCGGGTCAGCAGCATGCGGATGACATCGATGTGCTTGTGCTCTGCGGCCCAGATGATGGGCGTCCACCCCCCACTGTCCTGTGGGGGAGGCAAAGGGTGAGGCAGGGGCACCCGCTCCTCAAAGGTTCCAGTCAAGAGCCTGAGTGCAAATCCTACTCTGCTCCGCCTCGGCCTCAGTTTCCTCATCCCCAGCCCGGGAACAACAGTGCCTGACACTCAGTGCTTTTCTCCTGCTCAAATGTCTCTTGCATCGGCCCACGCTGAAGCCCAGGGGCAGGCCTGGCCCAGGAGCACCGCAACCCCGAACTGAAGCTCTCAGAACCTGAGCATGATGGCAGGAGATGGTGCTGACAAGTCAGAGGCCGCAGGACGTGACCTTGGGGGCATCCCTAGACAGAGGGCAGGCACTCCAAGATGGGAAAGAGGGTCAGCCAAGCCATGCCAGACCCTCATGGCTCTTGGAGACCAAGGCAGGAGCTCAGCCCATTATTCTACAGCCTAACAGAGGGCCGGGATTTAGGTCAGCAGCTCAGCGCTTGCCAGGCAAGTACAGAGTCATGAGTGCGATCCCCAATACCAAAAAAATAAAGTAAGATCAAGGGTGACACAGAGAACAGGAGCATAGGTGCAGAGAGAAATGGAGATGAGATGGAGAGCCCTGGCGCCGAGGGACAGCCAGAGAGCAGACAAAGGGACGCAAGGCCATATAGGGAGGGGACGCAGGCCACTGACCTGGGCGTTGACATCCACCTGCCCCGTGCTGAGCAGTAGGCTGACCATCTCCAAGTCGCCGATTTTGGCTGCGTGGTGGAGGCAGGTGGAGCCATCCTCCTCCTGAAGAAGACAGGCGTGGCTGGCAGGGGTCCCCGGCTGGGCCCCCACCTTTCCGACTCCCAGAGCCCTGGCACACGCGCCGTACCTTACTGTAGACGCAGCCGCCTCGCTGCACCATGTAACGCGCCACCTCCAAGTGGTTGTTCACCACAGCCTCCATCAGCGGTGTCCGCTGCTGCTTGTCCACAGCGTTGATGTTGGCTCCTGCCTGCAGGGGCGGGCACGCAATTGGCACCAGGGAAGGCGTGGCCAGATTGGGCCATGAGTGGGCGTGGCCATGAGTGGGCGGGGCTTAGAGTCCAATGCCTGACCTGCAGCAGCACGTGGCAGATCTCCACTGAGCCCTTTTGGGCGGCTGCGTGCAGCGGGGTGCGCTTGCTCTGCTGGTCGCTCTGGAAGTTGGGGTCCAAGTTGTCCACTGTGGGAGGGCCCGCCGCACCGGGAGGCGGGGACAGGCGATGAGCAGGCAGGCCACACTTCTCCCTGGAAGGCTCCTTTAAGCCTCCTGCTGGCCAGCTCTGCTCTCCATTGAGTTGGGAGCCCGAGCTTAGAGCCCGGCAGCCCAGGCCTCTGCACCCCAGCAGGTCCCCCCCACCTCGCGATCCCATGCAGGGCCAGGGGGGAGGGGTGCATCCTTGGGGCCTGGACCCTGTCCCTGTGCTGGGCAAGTGAGAGGCCCCTTACTTACACAGCATCAGGATCACCTTCTGCAGCTCCCCCTGCTTCACAGACAGGTACAGCTGCCGCGGGTGGAAACGCAGCTTCTTTCGCCTGCGGGGAGTGGGAGCAGGGCTGCTCAGCACCGAGCTCCTACCACGGCCCCCGATCCTTGCTGCCGTCCTGGAGCCTCCCGAGAGCAGCGCCCCTCACCTCTCCGACTCCTGGATAACCAGGGCCTTCTCCAGGGCTTCACGGCCCGGCCCCAGCGGAAGCCCCACGGCTGAGAGGCAGCCCCCGTTGGGCAAGGTCAGGGAGGGTCCTGAGCTGTCGATGGTGTCCGCCAGGGGATCACAAGGTGGCCGCCGGGGCTCCCCGTGCCCGCGCATCCGGGCGCTGCAGGAGAAAGTGCCGATGTCTGGGGCACAGAGACAGGACAGGACAGGACACAGGAGGGCAGCAGCGTAGGCAGGCAGGCAAGGCTGGTACCTGGGCTGGGAGGTATCTGCTCTCCCTGGCGCATCCTGAGCCAGGGGTGGGGGTGCAGGGGCTGCAGTGCCAGCCGGAGGGGTGCCCCCGTCACCCCGGGGAATGGTCACCTCCTGGGCCTCCGAAGCATCCTCCCCACAGTGGGGACAGAAGACCATGCCATTGAGCTGGGACACACAGGCCCTGTGGAAGCGGTGGGCGACGCGGAAGTCTGGGTGGCACTCCAGGAAGGTGCCCTGGGTAGGGTAGGACATGGTCAGACTCGGACGCCTCCCAGGAGTGGGCAGGCCACCCACCAGTGCTCTGCTGCCGCTCACCGCTGTGCAGAAGTAGCCGCAGCCAGGGCAGCAGTGGTGCTTGACCATGCGGGCACGGTGGGTCTCACATAGCACCATGAGTGCCACACGGCTGGATGGGCGCATGGTCTCCCGCTTGAGGATGGCCGCGTTGCAGCCGGACAGCTGGGGGTGGTGAGGACACGAGCGGGAGTATGAAGTCTGGTCCTGGGGCTGCACTTCCCGCCCCTGCCTGACCGCCCCAGACCCACCTCGCCATCCACGCTCTCGGTGGCCATGCACTTGTGCCCAGCCCTCTCGCTGATGCGGTCGATCTTGGGCGCCTCCATGCGGCAGCTGCACAGGGGTAGCTCCTCGAAGCCACGCTCGGTCTCCAGGGAGGACGTGTCATTGGACACCCCTTGGACAGAGGAGGGGCAGCTGAGGGAGGCCCTGACCCGCCCCTGCCGAGAGGGTCCTCTGCTCCCACTCTGCCTCTCCCTCCACGCTCCAGAACCCCAAAGCCTGGCCGAGGTCCCTCCTCCCCAGCCCCTTTCCCGCCGGCCCAGTGGGCGCCCCCTAGTGGCTCTCTCCCAGCAATGGGCATTTACCAGCGTGGTTGGGGGAGAGGGTCCCCTCGCTGGGCAGCTCCAGGGACCCCAGAGGGACCTCCATGTACTCACTGGGGCCTGAGGCGCCCACACCATTCACTCCTGACACAGAGACAGAGAGAGTGAGAGCGGGAGCTCATGGTGCCGGGGCGCGTGGGTCCATGCGGGTGCACATGCGTGAGCTGTGTACTCGTGCGTGCCTCTGGGGGCCGGGAGGGGACGGAGCAGGGGACCCCAGCCCAGAAGCCCCCTCACCTCGAGGCTCCTTGGCCCGTGGAGGTTCCCGCTTCCGCCGTTTCCGAGATGGTTTTACCCACGGGCTGTCTTTTCGCCATTTCTTCTTGGCCTTGCGCCGGCCGCTGGAGCCACTCTGTGGAGGAGGGAGAGTGAGGGGGCCTGGCTGCAGGCCCCCCGACCCCCGAGAGGCCAGCCTCCCCTTACCCTATCTGACTGGTTGCCTGACTCCTCATCTTCCTCCTCCTCCTCTTCTTCCTCCTCCTCTTCTTCTTCCTCTTCCTCCTCTTCCTCCTCCTCTTCCTCCTCTTCACTCAGTTGCTCAGCCAGGGCTTCGACTTCAGACTGGGAGAGAGGAAAATGCAGCTGGGGAGACGGCAACCTGCAGGCATGGGTCTCTCTGGGAGAGATCCTGGCTGAGGCAGCGGGGCACAAATCCAGAGGGATACAAACAGGCAAGATGAAGAAAGCGGCCACACTGCCCCTGCCTGCCCAGGGACGGCTCCCCAGAAAGATGCGTGTGGGCAGGGGAGGAGGGACGGAGGGAGGGAGGGTGGAGACTTGGGCACGAGCACTGCGTGGCCACAAAAGAGATGCTCGGGTCTCTGGGTCCTGGTAATGGAACATGGTGCTGTTTCTGTGAAGCTCACAAGCGGACAAGAACAGACCTCTGTGAAAAACACGACAGGAAGCCCCGTGGTGAAGAGACCAGCCCGGTGTCCTCCAGACTCACTCAGCATTGTGGATGTCACCAGAGAGACAAACGACCAGGTGCCTCAGGGCATGATGTGATGGGAAAGTCTCAGTGCATGCTGAGCTGTGGCACATGGGACCGTCATTTCCTGGGCTCCTGAGCGGTGAGTGTCAGGGGGAGAGATGTGGGGTCCCTAAGCCCTTGGCCAGTCACCTGGCTGGGTCTCTTCCACAAATAAAAGGTGAGGATGAAGACTTTTGCTTTCTTTCTTTTTTGTTAAAAGATGAGGAAATCTGTGTATTAAAAGATATCCAAGCCAAGCATGGTGGCACACTCCTGTAATCCCAGGATTTGGGAGGCTGAGGCAGGAGGATCGTTGCAAGTATGAGACCAGCCTGGGCTACAAAGTAAGCCCGTGGCCAGCCTAAACTGCACAGTGAGACCCTGCCTCCAAAAGACAAAAAAAAAAAAAAAAAAAAAAAAAAAAGAGGGGTCTTGTACGGATAGCACCAAATGCCTATTTATGAAACCACGGCACTGGGAAGCCCGACAGGACACTCGATGGTGAGAAGGAATTGCTGCAAGCTTTCTTTAGGGAAAGCAGTCATGCAGTGATGAGTGATGTTCAGTGACAAAAAGAGGCCTTATGATTAGAGGCACAGACGGAAATCTCTCCCCATGAAGCTGTGACCCCTGGGATTCCCATGACAGGGCCCAGCCAGAGTGCACGCTGTGGGAGGCTGGCGAGTGGTTGTGTGCTGGCTGACAACCAGGATCCTCTTGTGCGTCTCCTTGGAAGTTTCCAGGAAGACTACACCTTACACTGTGCACGTGAACATGGGAGGCACAAGCTCAAACGAGCGAGGGTGGAAGCCAGCTAGCAGGACATGAGCCGCAGAGGTGGTACAGGGTGGTGCCCTCCTTGGCCTGGAGGAAGCAGCAAGGATGGCGCAGAAGGAGCCCTTGCTGGCCACCACTGCCCATGGCCCAGGCAGTGGGTAAGTGTCTGTTCACGTGGGATAAAAGGGAAAGCAAGGAAGGGTGGGGTGCAGCTCAGTGGGAGAGTGCCTGCCTAGCAGGCAGGAGGCCCGGGGTTCCATCCTCAGTACCAGAAAAAAGGGGGGGGGGAGGACGGAAAGCAAACGGGGGACAGGAAAGATGGGAAAGGGGCCCCGGGCCTCACCTTGCTGTCGGAGTCCACACGCTCGTCCACGGAGTAGGAGTCATAGTAGAGACTGAAGTCATCCCCCACCGCCGCCTCCCACTCCTCCAGGGGCCTGGGATCCCCTTTGTCCAGGGTCACTCCTCCAGAACCCCGGGCAGAACCCAACTCCTCCGACTAGAAAAAGATCGGCGAACTTGAGGCTGCTGGGCCGCCCCCATCAGCCCCCAGGTGTGCTGAGGACGGACACAGCCCCCCCCCCCCCCATGGAGAGGTCCTGCCCCTGCCACGCTGCTCACCAGGCCACCGCCGTTCAGCTTCCTCCTCTTGGCCACATCTAGAAGGGAGGGCAGGGGTGAGGCCCTGGTCCTCGGCCCCAGGACAGACCACACAGACTGGGGGCAGGGCACGGACTGACCAGAAGTCACCTTCCCCAGGGGGTGCATGTCATCGCTCATTCGGAAATGCTGCACTTCCGGGGGCCGCTTCTCAGGGACCGGGGGCTGCAGCGAGAGGGAACACAAAGGCGGTCAGGTCTCATCTAGGTTGGCGAGCAGCTCCAGCTTTGCCTGGGTAAGCCTGGAGCCCAAGGTAGGGGGGGCTGGGTGAGCCACATCTCAAAATGCCACCCTGAGCTCCACAAGTCAGACGGCGGCAATAACAATACTGAAACCTTGGGCTAGAAGCAACTAGTTCCGCCGGATGAGCGAATGTTTCTAGTCAGTGTTAACTTAAAAGAGCAGAAGTCTAGCAATAGGCCTAGTACGCGATGTCAAATGTCACATGATCACAACCAAGCCAATGGTTTCTCTTTCTCTCCAGCTGTGGGATTGTGGGTGATTCTCTCCCAACAGCAGGAGATGATAGGGGAGATCCTGTCTGCAGAGGAGGAGAAAAAGGCCAAAAAATCCCTCTCTTCACGTGAGACTAGGGAGATGTAAAACACCCTGAGGAAAAACACCACCCACGTGAGGCTGCAGCAGTCTGAGCCACGTGTCTGCTTCACAGCACAAGGTCACATCTCTGCAAAATCCTCAAGAGGAGGCAGAAGGAAGCAAGTGTCCCTAGATAGAATGCTGGCTAAAGGTGCAGGAAAGGTGCTAGGGTGTAGCTCCTAGCTCGGTGGTAGAGCACTTCCCTCAGAGGGACAAGGCCCTGAGTTCAATCCCCAGTACCACACACGCGCACACGCACACACACGCACAGAAAAAAAGGAATGGCAGGAAAAGAGATTTCCTTGAGCCAGTACCAGTGAGTCTGCTGGTGACAGTGAAAGTCACGCTACACAACAGTCCCCGTCTCATCTCCCTCACACCAGTCACGAAGGTTTGCAAAGGTAACCACAGATTAACCCCTTTAAAATTTTAATTTCTTATTAATCGTTATAATATGACTGTTTCTGAGTTGTGGAATGAATCATCTGAGGTTTCCACTGATTCTTATACGGAAATTCACTTTGAAATACAAATTCTTTGGATGATACACATTTCTGGAACCCATCACGCTCACAAATCATTTTTATCATACTGCTCTTCCCCAGGGGTGCAGGAAGACGGAGCATGTCTCAGGCCCGAGGCCCACAGAGTGCTTCAAGCACACAGGGCGGACCCTTCCCAAGCTCCAAGGCTCTCTGCACACCCACCTGCATGGCAGCGTTTCACAACCCCTGACGTGTGGAAATAACCCAGAGTCCCTGGCAGCTGAACAAACAGCAAAATGTGCTTCTTCATTGCCACAGATTGATTCAAAAGAAATGTTTTTAAAAGACTATGTCTGTGGGCTGGGGATTTAGCTCAGTGGCATAAGCTGCCTGGCAAGCTTGAGGTTCTGAGTTTGATCCCTGGTACTGAAAAAAAAAGAAAAAAGAAAAAAAAAAAAAAGACTGTCTGTACCTAATATGACTTTTTTTTTTTTTTTGTCTTTTTGAGATAGGATCTTGCTATGCAGTTCAGGCTGGCCTTGAGCTTACTTTGTAGCCCAGGCTGGTCTCGAACTCACAATAATCCTCCTGCCTCAGCCTCCCGAGTGCTGGGATTACAGGTGGGAGCCACCACGCCCGGCTCCTGTCTGTACCTAATATGAGTAGACTTTTCTTCTTCATTATTTCCTAAATAACATAGCATTAAAGCCAATTACATAGCATGTTGTTTACTATTGTAGACAATAAAGATGTACACAGGAAAATATATGCATTTATGCATTTTTTTTTATGGTACTAAGGATTAAACCCAGAGCTGCCTCACTGTGCTACATCCCCAGCCTTTTTTCATTCTTTATCTTGAGATAGGGCCTCACTAGGTTGCCTAGGCTACACTTGAACTTGTAATCGTTCTGCCTCAGCTGCTAGGATTACAGGAGTGTACGGCTATGCCCAGTTCATATATAGATTTTTTTTTTTTTTTTTTGCTAATCTAGGCAATTCCATCTAAGGGACTCTTTTTTGGAGGGCATTGGGACTCAAACTCAGGACCTCACACTTGCCAGGTAGGCACTGTGCCACTGGGGTAAATCCTTATTTTTTTTGTTTCTTGAGACAGGGTCTCACTACGTAGTTTAGGCTAGCTTTGAACTCACTCTGTAGGCCAGGCTGACCTCAAACTCACATTGATCCTCCTGCCTCAGCCTCCCGAGTGCTGAGATATAGGCATGCACCACCATGCCCAGCTTGTAAGGAATTTTAATACCACTAGATTTTTGTATCTAGAAGGGCCCTATTATCAATTCCTCCTTGGATAGTAAAAGGTGACTGTACATAAATGGATAAATGGAGTATTACTAGTTTTAGAAAGGAAGAATTCTGACCTACATAGCAACAGAAAGAAACGTTGAGGACATAAAGTAAACAACAATAAGGCAGTCACAAAAAGACAAAAACCATGCAATTAAATACAAGGCAGTTAGAGTAATCACATTCCTAGAAAAAGGAAAGCCAACAGGAGCCAGGGGAAGGTGAGTTAGGGACTGAGTCTTTAACAGATACAGGGTTCAAGTTTTGCAAAATGAAGAGTTATAAAGACTAATGATTGCATATTACCAAATTCTTAACACCACTGACCTTTACACTTAAAAAGTTTGATTTATTTATTTATTTATCGAGACAGGGTCTTGCTATGCAGGTCAGGCTGGCCTCGGGCTCACTTTGTAGCCCAAGCTGGTCTCAAACTTCCAACGATCCTCCTGTCTCAGCCTCCTGAATGCTGGGATTACAAAAATGTACCACCATGCCAAGCCTTAAAAATGTTTTAGATGATGTTTTGTATGTATTCTAATACACCCCCCCCCAAAAAAAACCAAATAGAGAAAAAAATAAAAGTAGAGCTTGGAGGCACATCATATATATATATATATATATATATATATATATGTATATTTTTTATATATTTTAAAATATATATTTTTAATATATATATATTAAAATATATATTTTTTATATATTTTAAAATATACATACATACATATATATATATATATATATTTTTTTTTTTTTTTGTCTTTTTCCTTTTTATCGGTACCAGGGATTGAACTCACGACTGCCTGCTTATGCCGCTGAGCTAAATCCCCAGCCCCGGCACATCCTATATTACCAGTTACTTAGGAGGGTGAGGCAGGAGGATCATAATGTTGAGACCTACCTGTACAACTTAACAGGACTCTGACTCAAAAATAAAATTAAGAGCTGGGGGTTTAGCTCAATGGTGTAAGCACCTGCCTGGCAAATGCAAGATTGGGCCTAGCACCAAAATAATAATAATAATAGTAATAATAATAATAATAATAATAATAATAAATTAAATTAAAAAGGCTGCATGCTGGGCTGGGGAGTTAGCTCAGCAGCACAAGCGCCTGCCTGGAAAGCACAAGGTTGTGAGTTCGATATCCAGTACCAAAAGAGGAAAAAAAAATGGAGGCTCTAGCTCAGCGATAGATCACCGGCCTAGCCTGTGAGAGGCTTTGAGTTCAACTCCCACCCACACTGGAAAAAAAAATCTCAAGACACAAGCCACTCAAACCACACCCAGAAAAAGCAATACAAGGAGGCCTCCAAAGCTTGTCTCTATGGCTTCTGGGATTCTGAGGGTTTTTCATACCCACCTCTAACATTTCCCTGACCCTCCTTGCCACAAAAAGGTGCCGAGAAGGAGGGAGAAAGTTCCTTTAGGACCCGCTTGGAGGTAGAACAGAAAAGTGAACGCTCTTCTCCCCCACGATCAGCTAAATACGGTTAACTCAAAAGCAGGGGTTTGTTCTACCCTCAGTGCCCCACCCAAAGAATATAACTTCTGGAAGACTGGATCCATCTGCTCACAGCTGAAAGCTAGCCCAATATTTGACTCCCAGCAGCGCTTTGGTACACGAGTTAGAAAAGGCCTAAAACTGGTTTTAAAAGGAAATGAAAAAGCCCATCGAGGTTTATCCTTGAGAGCTCCACCCGCCCCGTCTCACCTGCCCATTTCCTGGCTTGGTCATGGTCTTCCGGGCGCGGTGGACCTTGGGCTGCCCCTCCGGACTGACCGTGGTGGCCGGAGGGGGTTCAGGCCCCGAGGCTGCGGTGCCCTGGGCTCCAGGCATATTCAGCAGCCGCATTGCCAAACTCTGGACTGAGGGGGGCGACTTTGCGGCCCCGGTCATTGACATTTTGGCCCGGCTGGCACAGGCGCCCCCCTTGCTGGGGGACGAGGGGAAGGACTTGGTGGCGTGGCCTAGGAGAGAGGCGAGGGCAGGAGGCCAGGTAAGAAGGTCGGCAGGAGGGGATCCCTGCCCACCCTCAGGGGCCCGCCTCTCACCCAGCAGGACTCGGCCCCCATCGCCCTCCAGATTCTCGGGCTCATCCCCGATGATCGGCGTGGCCCCCACAGGGGTGTCGGCCCGCTCATCGCCCACGGTGACAGTGACGGAAGCCGGAGAGGAGGGGCCGGCGGGCTCCAGGGAGTTGGGGCTGGCCTTGGGCAGGGGCTCCTCGCACTGAGGGGCGTCCCCCAGAGAGCCGGGAACTGCTAGGGAGGGAAGGGAGAAAGTTGAGGGCCCAGGGCTCCCGCATCCGGGTCAGGGGAGGTGACAGTCCGGCGGGGCCGTCTGCGCCGCACTCACCTCGCTCGTGGCCTCCTCTTGGCTCCTTCTCCAGCAGCAGCGCCCCCATCTCAGCGGGGGCGTCCCCCTGAGAGGGCAGACAGGGGACAGGCGCGCTGGTCAGCCCGGCGGGGAGCTGGGGCGCCCAGGACGCCTGGGCCCTGGGAAGGGACAGCAGGCTCCGGGGCCTACCTCTCCCTCGGTGGGGGCCGCCACGGCCCCGGCCGCGGCTGCCCTGAGGGGCCGCACGTCCCCTCCCCCTGGCCCGCATCAGCCCCCGCCCTCGCGGGAGACCCCGCATCTCCGGGGCCGATAGGAGAGGAGGGGGCGGGGGCGGGGCCTCCGCGCCCCGGCCCCGCCCCCTCCTCCCGGCTGCACGCGCCGCTCCCCCTTTGTCCCCCAGGCCGCGGGGACCCCGGGCACCAACCCCTCCGGAGCCCGCTGCCCCCCAGCCCGGCGGGCGGCCCCTCGTGCCCCTCGCGCGTGCTCCCGGGGCCCCGGCGCCCGACGCCCACTCAGGGGCAGCGGGCAGCGGCACGCGCGCCTCCGCGCCCACTCCCCCCACCTCCCACCCCCTGGTCCCCTCATCCGCCCCCGGTGCTGGCCCCCTGGATTGCTGCAAGTCCCGCCCGGGCCCCCCGGCCCCGTTGCACCCCCGGAGCATTGCACGGGCGCGCGCTTCCCCCGGGCGCGCGCGCGGGCATGCACCCGCCTCTCCCCCTCCCCTTCCGCACCTCGGCGGCCGCCGCCGCTGCAGCTCCCGCCGCCGCCGCCATCGCCGCTTGCGCGGGGGGCTGAGCCGGCGCGCGGCCGCCCCGGGTCACGTGGGCGAGCAGGGCGGGCGAGGAGGAGCCTTAAAGGGGCCGTCGCGCCCGTTCGGGCCATTTTCCCCGAAAGCTGTCTCGGCGCCGGCAGGGCTCCCCGGAGCTGGGGGCCGTGAGGGAGGGGGATTCCCGTTTTTCCCAGCCCTGACCTGCCTGGGTCCAGGGGTGGCTCCTCTGTCCCCGTCTGGGTCTAGGTGAACAGCGCGGCTCCCGAGCCCCGTGGATCTCGGCTGCTGCTCCCCCTGGCGCTTCTGGGCTTTGCCCTCTTGGCTGCTTTTCTTTCTAGTTCTTGGGCCTGCTGATAAGGCCTGGCTTTGGTGCTGGCCTCGCCTCTCTAACGAGCAAAGAAGGGGCCACGGGGACACCTGTAATCTAGCTTGCGGCACCATCCCCCCACCCAGCCGCGTCCTCTTTTGAAAACGTGGGGCTAAATGTCTTTTGTTTGCGCACGAGCGCTAGAGATCCAGGTAAGCCCAGCGGCTCCAGTGACATCTTTTTGGTGACACCGTAGTGATTTTTTTTTTTAGCTAAACACTTCATCAGCGGTCCATCAGCGGTCAGCCGCTCCGTGGGCAGCAGCCCTGCTGACAGTGGTAAGGAAGACGGCAGGATAAGCAGCGCTGACGCAGTGTTGTCAGGAAAGCCGCCCCTAGGAACCCTAGCTCCCTCAAAGTTTGCAAACATCTGTATGGTATCAATACAGGCAGGCTCAGGCTAAGGGGCACCTGAGGCCATTTCAAGGCCTTTTGGGAACTGTAGTTCTTCTTTTTTTTTTAATTAGGAATTTTCCAGTGCTTTCTGGGAATTGTAGTCTTAAAATAAGTTTGCAGATTTTTAGCTTTTCCAAACATATGAACCATTTCTCCCAACAAAAATGCCAGACCAGACGCCTGTTGTCAGTATCAGAAGGGTATGCTGGCCACCCGTCCTTGGCACTGAAACCAAACTCTGTGAGTAAAAATCGTGTGTATCCTGATGGTTGCCAATCATGTGTGCTTCACTGTTACTGGCTAAGTGTTGGGGGCTGCGCACCTCGGGGAAGATGTGTCCCTGACCAGTGGGGCTCGCTTGTCACCTTCCCTAACCTGTTTCAAGGGGGGCTCCTTTGGGGTTGGGACCTGCGTGAGCTGTGACCTCTGGGTACTGTGGACACAGCATCAAAAGGGAGACACCATCTAGGGTGGGATAGTCATACACGCAGTTGCCAGAATATAAAGAAAAAAATTAATTTTTTTATTCTGTGGAAAACAAAGCAGAAAAACTAAAACCCTCAAACTCCAGAAAAAATCCTAAAAAATACGTTTTGTTTTCTTAAAAAATACTGTATGTCTCTACGCCTCTCCCTCCCACTAACAGCCCTCCTTGTGTCTTTTTTCTAAGTGCCCTGCCCCCCAACCCCTTCACTATTCATTGTTCTTGCTATTGTACCCCCACTTCCCAGTAACTACCCCGGAGGCTCACTCCCATATTCTCTTACTTGGCACCTTAACTTTGTCCTCCAATTTTGGTGAGCCATGCACCCATGATCCCATTTCCCCAGCATGCAAGAACTGTCTCCCTCTTCCTCGCCTGGGATTCAATAATTGTTTCCCCTACCACTCCCTCGCCCCAAGATTCTACACTATAAACAGGAGCAAGTCAGCTGCCTCCTGTCCAGTTCCCTCCCAATTCCCACCCACCCACCCCTACCTCAAGAAATGTCAGAACCTTCCTTCCCCCAGGCAGCCTCGGCAGGAAAAACCATTCTCCAGTCTCCCCTCTTCTTCATTCTATGGAACCCTATTCCCTCCCTCCAGAGCCATGCACCTCTATGAAAAATCAATTTCTGGGACCCCATATGCTCTTGGCTGTGTCAAATAACCCTGTCCCCAGTTCTACCCTTTCTTTCTTTGAGGAGCAGGGTCTCCTCTCCAGGAAGCTTCTCCCTCCTCCCTCGGAGCCCCACTCTCCTGGGCCCCCAGACCCCGCCCCCTGCCCCCCCCCCCCCCCCCGCTAGCGGATGAGGACGTTGATCTCAGCCACGCTGGCCTCCAGCACGTTCTCTGCTGTGGTCTTGCCGTGCTGCTCCTTGAGGTGCCGCCGGATGGCGGGCTTGTGGGCGAAGCGCACGTCGCAGTAGGAGCAGCGGTAGGGCCGCGCTCCCGAGTGCAGGTTGAGGTGGTCATGCAGCGTGGACTTCTGGGTGAAGCACTTGCCGCAGATGCCGCACGAGTGCGACTTGACGCCGCGGTGCACGTTCATGTGACGATTGAGGTTGCTGCTGTGGTTGAACTGCTTGCCGCAGCGTGGGCACATGAAGATGAAGTGCTGTGCGCGCATGTGGAAGACCAGCTTCTCCACGCCCTGGAACACTTCAGGGCACTTGGTGCACTTGATGTTCTTTAAGGGGTTTCCACTCGAGAAACCCCCAGGCAGGGGTCCCCGGCTGCCCCCCGCCCCCAGGCTGCCCCCCACCCCCCGGGCAGCCATGGCCACCGCTGCCGCTTCCACCAGGCCCGAGGTGGCCCCTACACTGGCCCGGCCCCCCGGGATCAGCAGCAAGCCCTCCCCCTCAGCATCCTCCGACAGGCTGTAGCAGGCCTTCACCACACCCTGCGGTGGGGCAACAGTGCTGGGGGCCACGCTGCTCTGGGCCAGCTCCCCAAGGTGGCTGCTCACGGAGCCCCCGATCCCCAGACCCCCTCCCAGGCCTCCGGGGGGTTTGAGCCGGTGAGCCACCTCGAGGGCTGACTCCACCTTGACGATGCAGATGTCCGACACATCCTCATCCTCGTCCTCATCCTCTTCCTCTGCTTTCAGCTCCAGGTCCTCGTCCAGGGGGAACTCCAGCTTCACAGGCCGCAGGAGCGGAGGGGGCAGCGGGGGTGGGGGCGGGGGCTTGGGGGCCGGCTTGGGGGTCCTGGCCGGTGGGAGGAGGGACTTGGTGGCGCTGACGCTGCTCACGAGGCTAGCCTCACCGACCCCATCCTCTTTGAGGCCTATCTTGGGCTCAATGAACTGACTGAGGGCATTCCGGCACTTCTCCACCACGTGCTCCATCTGCAAGTAGGAGGCGGCTGTCAGGTAGTTGACGATGTCCCTGACAGCAAACTCCAGGGCACCCGTGTAGCAGGAGAGGAGCAGGTCGGCCACGATGCGCGCGCTGTGCATCAGGGAGACCTGCAGCTCGGAGCTGGGGTTCAGCAAGAACTGGTCCCGCAGGAAGGGTGAGCAGGCGGCCAGGATGACCTTGTGGCCGCGGAACTTGAGGCTGTCAGCCACGATGGTCACATCACAGAACCGCTCCTCCGCGCGGAGCTGGTTCATGTTCCGCAGCGTGGCGGCCTCATGGCCCGGCAGCTGGAAGCGCAGGACTTCCACCCCAGAGGCCATCGCAGCGACAGTGGGCAACCCTGGTCGGGAAGGAAACTGGTCAGAGACAAAGGTCTCGGGCTCTCCGAAGCCGAGGCTCCAGGCCCTTCACTCTCATCCTTGCCCGGTTCCCCCAGCATCAGATCTGCTGGTCTTCACGCCTCTTCCTCAGTTTCCCCAACCCGGGGGAGGTGCTGTCCTTCCAAAGAGGGAGGCGTGGTTCCTGGGGGCGGGGCAGCGGCGTCCACACCCCCCAGTGCAGCTTGGAGAAAGCCCGCGTGCCCTCGGGGGAAGGACGGGGGGGGGGGGAGGGCAGAGAGACCTGGACCTGTGGATCTGGGGTGGTCCCGGCTGCAGGCTCTCACCCCGCCCCTTCGCCAGCTCCCTGGATCCTCCGAAACACCTTCCAGCCCTCCCCTGCCGCCTGCGCGCGTCGTGCACGCCCCCCTCCCACGCCGGGGCTCCGTGGCACGCCCCCCAGCCCCACGGCCCGGAGTGCACGCGCCTCTCACCTGGCCCGGTTCCGCGCTGTTTTTCCCCCCCTATTTCCCCCACCCCCCAGGGCCGGCGGCGCCCCCCACACACGGGCTGGGCCTGGGCAGCGCGCAGGCGCGGGGGTGCACGGGGCGCGCGCGCGGGGCCGACTCCGCGTGGGCGTCAGGGGGAGGGACGGGGGCAGCTCGTGCCGTGTGTTCCAGGCCCCGCGCTCGGCGGCGTCGCGAGGAGTCAGGGAGGAGGAAGAGGGGAGGGAATTAAAGGAGCAGGATTCCCCCCTCCCCGACCCCCCTTTCTTCACGGGCACCCCCTCGCGGTTAAAGGGCTGGACAGCCGTGCCTCCCCTTTGGCCAGGATTATTTGTCCGCCAGAGCGGAAATACGTTCCACACCCCCCTCTTTCTCGCTCCCCCTCCTCTGCGCCTCTGGGGCCCGCGCCCGTCTGCGCGTGCGTGCCAAGTGCCGCGCGGAGGCCGCTCGTCCGGCCCGGCCCGCCCCCCGCTGCCCGCGGCCCACTCGCGCCCCCGCGCGCCCGCTTGCCCAGCGACCCAAGCGCGCGCTTGTCGGGTTCCCGCAGCCTCTCGTCCTCTTGCGCCGCTGCGTGGCGCGGCTGCCGCCCAGCGGTGCAAACCGGGCCCCAGGGTGCAGTCCTGGCCCCTCCAGGGCCCCGACAAGCCCAGCCCACTGCTGCCCGAGTGTTTGATGGCTGTTGCCCACACATGAATCCTCTGCTGAGGTGTGCAGGATTCCTCCAGCTACACCTCCAGAGTTTTCCAAGTCTTCTGAAGCTACTAACCTCCTGGTTGAAACTATGATTTCGCTTTCCCACAAAGGCTTTACCGTTCTTCCACTGCGGGTCACTAGAAGTCACACTCGGCCCACTGATTCTTGTGACTGATTCCAACTTCTTCCCGAAGCAGACGCCTCTGCGCCTCTGCCTTGTGCCGTCTGTGACCTTGCCCAGGTCACCTCTACTGTATAGTTCATCCTGGGCTTAATCCTTCTAGTTA